TTGGTGGCCGTCGAGGTCAGCTGTTGCTGCTCTGGTGGGAAACCCAAGTGCGCCCCAATGAGCCGTAGAATTTGACCACCCCTGTGGACGCCCCTCGGGTCGTATCTGCTGTCGCGCTTCGCCCCCGACTTGTTCGAGCTGCTGGCATGGCCTGCCGATCGCGCTGCTGACCGCATGCATGGCACTGGTGTTGGAGGGGCACTATTGGAGTGCTGCAAATTCACGCAGTCGCGCTGCCGTGGCCTCCCAGCAATTGGCCTCCCTGCGCTTGGCCGCATTCTCGAACGTCTCGGTGTTTCTTTGATGCGCTGCTTTCTCCTTCCCAAAGTGCGGTGCCCCTCCCCGTTGCAGTGCAGCTCGTCGGTAGGCGCCCTGGGGTGGGCCCAAGGATAGCTCCGCCACCCGGGCCCAGCGTCCGAAGTGTTGGGCCAATGCTTCGGCGCCCTCGGGATCGCGTTTGTGACTCCACGCTGTCTGCGCCTCTTTGGTGGCCACTCCTCTGGCTCATTCTGGTGGCGATGTGGCGCTTGGCTCCGCGCGTCGCCCGTCGCTGTCGCCGCGATCCCCCCCCCGCATTCAGCGTCAAAGAGGTGGCGGTGACTGTCGAGCTCGCTGTGGGCGTTGGGATCGAGGCCGATTCCGTCGCCATCTTGGCGGGGGTTGGCGCGGCGCCCCCTCTCGCCGCGCCACTTTGTTTCGGCGAAGTGTTCGGGCGCGTTGTTCCAATCGCCGAGTGCTACCCAAGGCGCTGCCAAACGCTTGATCACACGCGTCAGCAGGAGCATATGGCTGGCGATCATCCTTTTCCCGAGCCGAGGTGGACGCAGATGAGCACCACTGTCGCCCCCCTGGAGCCTCCGCATCATGTCTGAGATGTCCTTCAAACTCTGCTGGGGCACGCCCCTCCCCGTGGCGCCAGGAAAGTGCGCTGACGTCGGTAGACCTGCTCGCGTAAGCCAGCAGGTGCCCCCGTGAGTGCCGGATGCACTCCTCTCCGTAGGTGTAGCTGGCGTCCATGCGCGTTGCGAATGCCACCCCTGGCGCTGCCACTTCATGGCATCGTTCCTGGCGGCCCCCGCGAGCAAGTGGTGCTCGGCGATGCCGACGACATCGCAACTGGCGCGCGGTATGTAGCGTCTCGAAATTATCCCCGAAGTGCGTGGCGTTCGCAAACAGCGCGTGAAGCGTGCGGCCCAAAGACGCGACCGCACTCTTGGGTTTGGAGGCGCCTGCGCCGTGGTTCCCCGCTGGGCCGATCGGCAGCGGCACGTCCTCCCCCACTGGCGGTCGCTGCCGTCGACGCCCGCGCCTTGGCTTTGACCTTGAACTGGGCTGTGGCCTCGATGTGCTTGTTGACAACCTCGGGGACTGTGAAGTCTGTGTTGCCTGCGCTGGCTGAGGGCTCCTCCGCTGGAACCGCCGCTGGTTCCTCTCCTGCTGGCCGGGCAGTCCCATTGGTGCGTTTCTTCCTCTTGCTTTTGACGGCGGTGTGGAGCTTGCGGAGACGTTCGGCGGCATCTTTAGCACTCTGTCCAGCAGCTGCCGCTTGCTTGAGCGTGGCTGCTGCGACTGCGGCCGCCTTACTGGCTTCTGCATACTCACGCTCGGTCCCAACGGCTCCAGATCCTCCTTGCCCAGCTTTGGGAACGCGGCGTCGTCGTTGGAGCCCTTCTGCTTCTCTTGCTCGGCTGCTGTGGCTGCTCCAACAGTGGTCTTGCGCACCAACTGGTCGACCCAGTCTGGGCTGCCAAGTACTCCTCCACGTTGGCACTCAGTCGGGCAACAAGATCTTTCTGAGAGCGACGTGCTGCCACCAGCTGCGCTTTGATTCGGCCCTGCTGCGTCTAGGGTTGTCGGAGCCTCTGCGCTGCGTTTACGAGCTGCTCTTCGGCCGACTTGATGGGTGGAGGTTGCCACATCTCCTCCAGCTCTGGGCAGACTGCCAGCAACGCCTGCTGCTGGGTTTGGTCGTTTGACTCTTTGGCCTTGGCGAACTGCGGCAGCAAAACTGAGGCCACGTGGATGACTCCTCCTGGCGCTGGCTGCGAGCCTGCGCTGGGGATGGGGCAGGGCGTGCCTGCACTGCCTTGGCCTGCCACCACGTTTGCGAAGGTGACGGAGCGCTGCTGCGGCTGACGGTGTAAGTTGCCGAGCTCGTCCCACAGTATGCCACAAGAGACACATGCTCCCCATCCCTGCGTCCCAGCCCTGCTGAGAAAAAAACACCCCAGCACGAGTGCAATGCGGACATGTGGTGTAAGGTTGTTGCCGACTCCTGGGTATATACCTCTGACATGATTTCGCATATTTTGTGTCCCCTCCCATGGAACCTGGCGCACGCACTTTCGCCGCCCTGCTGGATGCCCCTCAAGCCGCGGGCACGCCTGACCGAAATCCCCTGGAAGACTGTCGGCGCACGGTCCGCGTGCGTGTGTGCGCGGCGGGCCTCTCCCCTGAAAGGACTCGACGCACAAAAGGCTTGAGGGGAGGAGGAGGAGGAAGAGGAGGAGGAGGAGGAAGAGGAGGAGGAGGAGGAGGAGGAAGGAGGATGTAGGAGGTAGGAGGAGGAGGAGGAGGAGGAGGAGGAGGAGAGGAGAAGAGGAGGGGGAGAAGGAGGAGGAGGAGGACGACGACGACGACGAGGGGGGGGGAAGGGGGAAAAAGAGGAGGAAGAGGAGGAAGAGGAGGAGGAACAGGATAATGAAGAGGAGGGAGGTCGGAGGAGGGAGTTCGGACGTAGGAGGAGGGAGGGGGAGGAGGGCATTCAGAATAATTAAAACGGTCCTCTGGCTGGAGATCACCACGACCCCGCGAGCCCGAGGCCCACAACCAGCGCGGCGCGCCGCGCCCCGAGCGCGATCGTGGCCTTGTCCGCCGAGTTTGCTTCTGCCGCCGTTCGACTAGGGGACGACGACATAAGTGATTTACTCCAAAAGGGGTTGCCCTGCCGAAAGTGCGAGAAAGGCGAAAACGTTCGTATATCTACGGGCCTGTACGAATGTATATATGAATATATACACACACGCACACTAAAGCCACGCGCGCGGTACGCGAGCGCTTAGGTTCTAGTCGCAGATGAGGCACAGGTGCCGCTGTAAGCCCTGGTGCGGTCACAACGATGGTTTCCAGCGTTCTCGGGTCCACGCCATCGACGCAAAGAAACGCGTCGTCAGAACGCTCCCGCTCTGCCTGGCCTGCCCTTGAGGGGTGTGGGGGGGAAAGTTACTTGTGAAATGATAGGGTATAGCGATGCCCCGCTCGCTCTGGCGGGGCCTGTCTGATGCTCTGGCGGGGCCGTCCCAGGAGAGGAGAGAGGAACACGAAAGCTGAGGGGTGAGGGGAGGAAGAGGAGAGAGGAGGGAATTGAGGCAAGGGGAGGGGGCGGGAGGGAAGGAGGGACGGAGGTGGGAGGCCCGGGCCATCTGGGCCGTCTTGGAGCGCTCTGGGGCCTCCCGCTCCCGCTGTGGCCCAGCGTGGGCCTGTCCTGGGGTTCGCTTGGGCCGTCTGGGGCTCGTCCTGGACTATGTTCGGGCTTCCTGGGGCCGTTCTGGGGCTCTTTTAGGTTCCTCTTCGGCGGTTTCGGGGCGGTCTTGGGGGCGTCTGCGGCCGTCGAGCATCGGAAGCTCCAGAACGCGAGAAAGCGTAGCACTCGAACAAACCAGTATAAATCAATGATGTGGGCCTCTTTGGGCTCTCTCGGGACGTATCCCGGAGCTCTCTTGGGCCCTCTTGGAGGCCTTTTGGTCTGTGCGTTTGCCGTCTTGGACTCCTCTTGGGCCACGTTGGAATCATCTCGGCCGTCCTGGAGCGCCCTGGGGCCTCCCATTCCCGCTCTGGGGCCCATCTTGTGCCTCTCCTGGAATTCTCTAGGGCAGTTTTGGACTGCTCTTGGGCGGTTTTCATGCTCTCCGTGGCCGTCTTGGGGCTCTTTTCGGGGCCTCTTCTGCGGTCTTGGGGCGATCTTCGGGGCGTCTTCGGCCGTCTTGGAGCGTTGGAAGCTCGAGAACGCGAGAAAGCGAAACACATTAGAAAAAACGGCTGGAAACCAAGAATATGAGCCTCTTCGGGCTCTCTCGGGACGCCTCTCGGAGCTTTCTTGGGGCCTCTTGGAGGGCTCTTGGGCTGTGTATTGGCCGTATTGGGCCCATCTGGGGTCACGTTGGGGCCATCAGGGCCGTCTTGGAGCGCCTTGGGGCCTCCCGCTCCCGCTCCGGGGCCCAGTTTGGGCCTGTCCTGGGGCTCTCTTGGGCCGTCTGAGGCTCGTCCCAAGCAATTTTCGGGCTCCCTGGGGCAGTCTCGGGGCTCTTCTGGCGGCCTTTTCGGCGGTCTTGGGGCTGTCTTGGGGGCGTCGTCGGCTGTCGTGCAGCGCCGGGAGGTCGAAAACGCGAGACACCGAAGAACATCGCAAAAACCAATGAACATCAAGGATTTGGGCCTCTTCGGGCTCTCTCGGGACGCCTCTCGGAGGTCTCTTGAGGCCTCTCGGAGGCCTCTTGGGCTGTGCATTTCTGGTCTGGACCCATCTGGGGCCACGTTGGGGCTATCTGGGTTGTCTTGGAGTGGCTTGTCGTAGTCCCCCGGGGGGCTTCTGAAAGCGTCTTGGAGCTCTCTGGGGCAATCTGGGGGCTCAACGGCCCCTCCGGGGTGCTGTGGGAGCGGGCTCGGAGGCCCTGGTCCCGCCATGCCCCCCCGAGGTCGAGGCCCCGGGCGCCCGGGCCTCGTGCGCGGGTATATCATCTATCTATGTATATATATATATATATATATATATGTATGTATGTCTGTCTATATATCTATCTATCTATCTATCTATCTATATATCTATCTATCTATCTATATATCTATCTATCTATCTATCTATCTATCTATCTATATATCTATCTATCTATCTATCTATCTATCTATATATCTATCCATATATCTATATATGTGTGTGCTAGTAGATTCGACGGGGAAACCAATTTTGGGGGTAAATCACTTCTGTAGTCGATCCCCTACTCGACTTCTGTCGCTGTAGGAGCTGGCGTGGGAGCCTCAGTGGTGCACTGGCCGTAGGCAGTGGCGGAGTGGTTGCAGCCGTCGACGTCGACATACACCTGCGTGCTGTAGTCTGTCTTGTTTGGCTCATCGACGACGCCAAACTCTCCAAAGTGATTGATCAGCGCCTGAGCGTACTCGGTGAACGTGTCCTCGAAAGTCACGGTTCCAAAGGTTGTGTAGCCGTCCTTGCCCCCAGCGATGAAGCTGTTGGTGACCACGCTGTACGTGGTGGTAAGAGAGATGTCGGCCCAACTCGCGGTCATCCTGGAGTTCGCCTGCAGCATCGTCACGCGGCTCCCCCTCGCCTGGCTTGCGTCGACGTGCCAGCGCAGCCCAGAGGCGATGGGGTAAGACCCGCTCGACCCGTCGCCGTCCAGGAAGAAGGCCAGCCCGTCCTCGATGGTGTCCTGGATCTGCGCCCCGGTCATCTGCGCGATCACGAGGGTGTTGCTGAACGGCAGGAGCGTGAAGCAGTCGTCCATCGACACGTTGCCCTGCGCGAGATCCTCGCGGACGCCTCCAGCGTTCTGGATGGCAAAGTCTGCAGTGGGCGCATTCGTCAGGAAGGAATGGGCGACCACCTGGCCGACCTGGCTGCCGTGCTCCCACGTCTCCGACGGGTCGCACAAGGTGCTGCGGCCCTGCCCTGGGATCCGCTCCAGGCAGAGCGTGCTGAGGGCCGAGCCCACGATTGTCTTCTTCAACTCGTCGACCTGAGCGGCGACAAGGGGCGCCTTACGCGAAATGGCATAGCGACCTCATGCGGTGGCTTGCGCGGGCCGCTGGCGCGGCATGCTGCAGTGGAGACGAGGGCGCCTACGCGCGACCCTGCGCGGGCAGCTTCTGCACGAATGTCAGCGCAGGCGACCCCGTTTCTTTGCGTCGCTCACCTGGGACTCGAACTGGTCCAGCGCAGTCTGCGTGACGCTGTCCGGCTGCACTGCGTGGAACTCGCCCGTCGCCTGCAGGAAGCCCTCCACCACGGCCTTGTCGGCCGTGTCTAGCTCGGACGGCGCAGCGAAGGGCACCATTGGCGCGCCCTCGCAGCTGGAGACCACGCCGCTGTCGTCGAAGCGCACGTGCAGCATGCCGAGCAGGTGCGAGTACTCCCAGGCCTGCACAACACAGACGGGCGAGTCGTCCTTGTCAGTGTGCATCTTCGGGTAGCTCAGCTCGTGCGGAGCGTTGACCATGCCCACGCCCACGCTGCTGCCCATGAGCGTGTGCGAGTCCCCGCCGATCACCACGTCCACGCCACTCAGCGCGCGTGCCAGCTCCAAGTCCTGGCCGTAACCGATGTGCGTCGCCAGCACGATCTTGTCGTGGCCCATGGCCTTCAGCTCGTCGATGGCCGCCTGCGCCGCCGCCGTCTCGTCGTCCAGGGTAGTGCCGGCGTCTGGGTTGGAGGACAGCATGGTCTTGGTCTTCGTAGTGATGCCTACAACGGCCACGTACTCGCCCCCGAAGGACTTGACTGCGTACTTCGCAACCTTGCCCTGCAACGGAGACGTCGGCCCGGGGACCAGGTTGGCGCTCACCACCGACGTGTTGCACGCCGTCTCGTTCGAGTGCAGGCGGTCCAGGAAGTCGGCGAGCACGGCGTCCCCGTCGTCGAACTCGTGGTTGCCGAGCGTGAAGGTGTCGGGGCAGAGGATGTTCATCATCGTCGCGTCGGCCTCGCCCTTGAACACGCTGTAGTATGCGGTCCCGGTGATGGCGTCCCCAGCGTGGATCTTGAGCACGTTGGCATCCGAGGCGCTGCTCAGCTCGCGCGCCAGCGAGGTCAGCATCGGGAAGCCACCGTATCGTACGGCCTTCTCGCCAATGGTCGGGCTGGAGATGCCGCTCAGGGAGCTGAGATTCAGGTCAAACGTGCTCTCCTCAAGGTGGCTGTGGTGGTCATTGAGGTGCAGGATGGTCAGGTTCAGGGGCGCGCACAGGCCACCATGGAAGCAGAGCAGGGACAAGCACAAGGCTGCAGTGCGCGAGCTCATGCCTCTTCTCGCTGGACGCAGCAGGACGAGCAGACTCAACTTTAGACTTGCAACAAATTATTTCGCTAAAATGGCTTCAGCAACATGGTTTGAACCAGAAGAACACGCAAATATTAAACAGCAAAACCTATCGTCGGATATCTGGAGACCATTCCCTGGAACCCGCTTTTCCTCCCGAGCCGTTTTGTTAACGGTCACAAGGTCTGGCGAGGGCCCCCCCGAAGGCAGAACGTAGCCCAAATCCTCGCGACAACACATGACATAAACATACACTTTCGGAGGTCCGCACGGTTATTGGATTGGCGCCAGATCCCCCTCCCTGATGCGCGGAGCGCGCCAGGGGCGGCACCGGAGGCGCCACTAGGGGTCTCCAGTGCCAATCCGAAAAATCCGCGCGGATTTCCGAAAATACATGTTCATCTGATTTTTGGGTCCGTCTTGGAGAGAGAGGAGGTGATCTACTGGGGCCTATTGGGCGATCTATTGGGGCCGTCTTGGAGCTCTCTTGGGCTCTCCTGTGGACAATCGAGCAGGCGTGGTCTGTCTTGGGGCGCCAAGAGGCCCCCGAGAAGCCCCCAAGACAAAACAACAGGGTTCCGAGATGCCACGAGATCGCTCCAAGATGCCCAAGATTGCCCCCAGACGCCCCAAGAGGCTTCCAAAGGCGCTCCCAAGAGGGCCCCAAGAGGTACACATCATTGATTTTTCCCGAGGTTTGGAACAGATTTTGGCGTTTCCCCCTTCTCGGCTTCCCGACGCCTCAAGACGGCCCAAAAGGCTCCCAAGATCGCCCCAAGAGGGCCCAACAGGGCCCCAAGAGAGCCCCAAGACGGCTCAAGAGAGCTCCAGGACCACCCAAGACGACTCCAAGACGGCCCAAAAAGGCCCCCAAAACGCCCCAAGAGAGGCCCCAGAGGGGGAGCACGCAACAAAATTGCGTGCCCTCGGCCATAGGCAGCCCCCAGGAGGCCCCCAGAGGTCCCTGAGAGGCCGCAAGAGACCCCCAACAGGCGGTCAGGAGGCCGCGAAAAAGGCCCCCGAGAGCCCCATATAGGCGCCACCAGGTTGAACCGTCCCCGAAAGCTTCGGAGTCCCAAGAGTCCCACCAGCCCTTTAGGGCGTAGGTGGTCTAGAGCGTTTCCTCTGCCAACCCCCCTTCTTTCCCTTCGGGGAGGGGTTTACCCCTCCCCTTACCCCTCCCCACTGACCTGGACGGGGCGTTCCGCGACGCGTTGGGACGCCCAAGATGGCCCAAGACTGCTCCAAGAGCGAAAAGGCGAGAAAGCACAAAACATTGATTTTCCTTAGGTTTTGGAAGGATTTTGGCCTCTTGGGGGGGCCCAAGAGGCGATCCGAGGCACTCTAGAGGGGCGAGGCTAATTGAGGCTCCCCCCTTCTTTGATATATATTCCCAACATGGCCCCAAGAGCGCCCCGAAAGCTCCCAAGAGCGCCCCAAGAGCGCCCCAAGAGGCCCCAAGAGGCCCCCAAGAGGCCTCCAAGAGGCCTCCAAGAGACTCCCAAAAGGCCACAAGAAGCTCCCCGAGATACGCAAGAGGCCTCCGGGACCGCCAAGAGGCCCCAAAGACGGCCCAAGAGGCCCCCAAGCTCGCCATTGTCCTCCTCCTCCTCCTCTTTTTCTCCCTCCTCCCTCCTCCCCCTCCCCCTCCTCCGCCTCCTCCTTCTCCTCCTCCTCCTCCTCCTTCTCGTCCTCCTCGTCCTCGCCCTCCTCCATCTCCTCCTCCTCATCTTCCTCCTCCTCCTCCTCCTCCTCCTCCTCCCCCTCCTCCTCCTGCTCCTCCTCCTGCTCCTCGTCTTCCTCCTCCTACTCCGACGACGACGACTCCTCCTACATCCTCCCCCTCTTGGGGCGTATGGCGGCTCAACCCGCTCTTTGTTCTTCTGCATGCTCCCCCGCTTCCCTCATCACCTCCACTCCCCTGGGGCTCATTTCTGGACGGGCTGGTGGGGATACGCGAAGCGTCTAGAATTTCCTGCGCACTGCCTCCCGGCGCGCGAAAATGGGCCAGCGGAGTGAGCGAAGCGATCAGTTTTACCCAAGTTTGACTGGATGGCTGTATTGCTATATATTGGCCTCGGCGATTGCACTGTACTGCGCTGCGCGCGCCCGCTGTCAAGGCGCCCGCGCACCCCTGGAATCCCCGCTGGTGGCATACTCAGCACGCATCGCCCTGTCGGGAAGCGTTTGAAGAAATATTGGAAGGTCTACCAGCAAAGGCCAAACCATAATTTACCAATTTTGCCTTGCGCAGTCACGTGGCATTCACCGCATCGAGTAAATGCTGCACCAGCGCAGTCATGGGCCCTGGTCCCAAACTGCCTGGACGGCGGGGTGGCGGCGACAGTGGGCTCGAATTCTCCTTTAAAACAACTGCGGGAGGCCAGCGCGGGAACCCTTTTCTAATAGTATTGTGGGCGCAGCGACAGGCATTGCAGAAACTATCAAAACGAATCTCGGTTTATCCACTGAGGCGAGTTATGAAACAAATTGGAAAACCAATCGTGACCATGCCCAAGAATGCCCCGCGATGCCGAAAGATCAATGACCTCCCTCATCTTGTGGTTCCAGCAAGGCACGGGCTGACTCTTTTTTCGATGCACCTGGAGCATCCGCAGCATGTTAGGGACCCTGACAGGGGCCAACCATAGGGGGCCACTTCATGAGACGCAGGCTGAGAATCTCAATGACCGAACGCCCAGACTTCGGGGGCCAACGCAAATGGTCATGCAATTTACGTCGAGACGACGCCTTTCGAGCCGCCGTGAGTTGGAAGTTCAACATAATGAGACGTCGGGAGCCGTGAGACTCTGACATGTGGTATACAGTAGAATGTTTCCACCATCCACGGCGTCGGCGCACAAGGATACACCCATTTGGCGCGCGAATTGCGCGGGGCCCCCCAAGCTCAGCACGAAACTCACCGCAATGCGCGGCGCAACGGGAACGGGCGGCAAGCTTGACGCTATGCAGGTGACGCAACTCTACCCCTCCCCACGCATCATGAGACACTGCGACGGGATCGCTTTCCAAGGCCCTTGTGACGGCATGCGCGCGCGACGATGGCACGCAGCATGCAAGGCTAGTAGCGGGGGGTGGAACTGCAGCGCGCATTGGAGCAGAGACAGGCGAAGAACGTGAAAGGTCCGTGTACCGACGGGCCGCCCCAGGCCGGCGCGCTCTACATGCGGGGTCCGACTCAGCGACGCGGGGCGATTTCACCCCAGGCATCGGCCTCGCCAGCGGACCCGAGCAAAACTCCCGGGCGCCTCGCGAACCGAACGGCAACTGCGCCGCGGACGGCAGGCAGGCCCGAGAGATCGAAATAAATCTGGAACCGACGCCACCAAGGCGGCGCCAACAATCTAAAGCGCATATTTTTCAAATTCAATTTGAGCGCGCCTTCCAAGGCTGCAACCGCTTCAGAAGCGGGTCTGTGGCCAGCGCGTGGGGACGCGTGCTTGCTGCCCCCCCCCGTCGCAATCCTCGCCCAACATCGACAGCCAGACGCGCCCCCCCAAGAACAAACGAAAAACTCGTGAGAGAGGGCTGCAGAAGAGGCGCAACTCGCACCGCGCGCGCCCATGCGAGTCAGCACCGCAAGAGCCCGCGCGCTGTGCACCGAGGGAAAAATGCCACTGCAAAATCTGTCAGCAGCTGAAAACTGCGTGGCGCGCCATCCAGATACTGGCGATGTTCGAAGATCGGCCGCCCAGCAACCCCGCCCCTTTGGCTCCCATGAGCAGTCGAAGCAGCAAGGGTATTGAGCGGAGGGCCAAAAACCAAAAACATGATCTTGGCATCGGAATCGCAGAGCAAGCGGCCGAGTCGCAGCGGGGCCCCACGTCGCACCCTGCGCTGCATCATCAGGGTTAGTGCCCTTTGGCAAAACGGTTTATATATGCATATCAGCATCGCGCATATGATCAAGCAGCAGCTCGCGCCCGCCCTCCACCTGCGGGGCTGCATCAGGCAAGGCGCTCCTCCCAGGGGCAGCGCCGCGCCCCCGCTTCACGCGGCCTTCGAATTCGCGGAATTCGAGCTCCCACTCGGGTCGTCGCTGCGGATCGACGCCTCCCACTCTGTTGCAGAAACGCAAAAGCCCAGGCCACAGCGCGTGATCCACGTGAGCTGCCTGAAATATTTTACACCGGCGGGCGACCCAAGCGGCGCCCGCCCTCCTCGGCACCCGCGCAAACCGCGCCGTCAGAAGTACGGACGCAATTCAATGGCACTCGTCGTCGGAACTGCTGCCAGACAAGTTTGCACGCCGAAACTCGTTTTCAACGCGGTCCTTCTCCTCCTCCGACGTGCTGCTGTCGCCGGGCAGCCGCGCCTTCGCCGCCCCTCTCTGTCTCTCTCTTTATATCTCTCTCTCTCTCTCTCTCTCTCTCTCTCTCTTTCTCTCTCTCTCTCTCTCTCTTTTTATATCTCTCTCTGTCTCTCCCTTGTTTCCCCCTCTCTCTCTCTCTCTCTCTCCTCTCTCTCTCTCTCGCTCTCTCCCTCTCCCTCGCTCTCTCTCTCTCTCTCTCTCTCTCTCTCTCTCTCTCTCTCTCTCTCTCCCCTCTCTCTCTCTCTCTCTCTCTCTCTCTCTCTCTCTCTCTCCCGCGCTCTCTTTCTGTTTATTTGTTTGTGTCTCTCTCTCTCTCTCTCTCTCTCTCTCTCTCTTCTCTCTCCTCTCTCTCTCTCTCTCTCTCTCTCTCTCTCTCTCTCTCTCTCTCTCTCTCTCTCTCTCTCTCTCTCTCTCTCTCTCTCTCTCTCTCTCTCTCTCTCTCTCTCTCTCTCTCTCTCTCTCTCTCTCTTTCTTTCCCCCCCTCCCCCGCTGACCACCCTGCTCAACTTGTTGCCCGCCAGCGCGCGCAAGGCTCGGCAAATTGGGCGCGCGCCATGGCCCCCGCGTCAGAGCGGCCCCCCTGTTCGGCGCGCGCGGCAAACGCGCGCGCACAACTGAAACTGGCCACGCCGCGCGCCCCGAATCGCGCGCGTCGCCCAGCGATGTTTGTCAGAAGGGCACCCGGCGGCCCCGGGCCGAATGGTTCCCCGAATCCCAGGGGCGGCCGCCCAGGTGCGCCCCTTGGCCAGCCGCGCTCGCTGCGCGGCAGCCACCGGAGGCAGCCCGCGAATAATCTGGCTAACGCGCGCCTGGCACTCGGGCGACCGACGCAGCCGCGCCGGTGGCCCACGCTAATTTTTGGCATCAAAAACATCTCTAGCGCGAATACGAGCGGCCCATGGTCCGGCGGACACGTTCCCGAAGTGCCGCGCGGCGCTGCGGCGACAGTGTAGCCCGCCCAAAAAGCGCCCAGGTTATCGCTGTAGACCCCATCCAGTCGACGCGCGCCGCTGCGCCGCGTCAGCACTCCAGCTGAGGCGCGTCGGCTCATGCAGTAAACGCAAAAGAACTGATCGCGATGCTGTCTGCACCCCTCTCCAAGTCTGCCCGCCCTCCGTCGCGCGCCCCTCCCCCCGCGGAGTGGGGCCCCAGCCCCCCGCGATCGCACTCAGTGAACAGGCGCAGCTAAGTGGCGCCCGTGCTATTCCACGCCAGGCCGAGCCGTGAATCCACAGCCCCTGATTCGCATTCGGCAAGCGGCAGCCCGCAATCGTGAGCCGCCCCAGTGGCCATGCATTTGCGCGGCCATGATGCGCCCATCAGCGCCAGACGCAACGCTGCGATCGATTGTTGCGAACTGCGCGCGGAGCCGAGCACTGCTGCTTAACTGTAGCCACTCCCCCAGCGGCGCTAGCACGTAGAAAGCTGGTGCGCGCCGCGGCGCCACTCTGTTGCTGCGGCAGCGACTCGACGTCTCCCGCGCGGGCACGGCGCCCTTGCAGGCGCGCCGCATATACTTGCGACGCAGAGCACGCGCAGACGCACATGCAAACTTAATTGCACATGTTGGATTCTCCACGCGAAACTTGCCAAAGAGCCCACTTGCGCCCCGCGTGCAAGCCGACGCAGAGGAGGGGGGGGCTGCGCGGAAAACCTCAAGCCCCATGACAAACCTCATGGGCTCCACTTGGGTCCGCCACGGGAAACAATCTAAGACCCACGTTCTGAAAACGAACCTGAGCGCGAGGGTTCGAGGCGGGGGGGAAAAAAACGGCAACTTGCGCGCGATGCGCTGCCCGCTGCCCGCGGTCGCTCGCACCTTCGCGCACGCGCCCGCCTCGGGCTCAAAAGCGAGCGATCAAGGCGTCGCGCGCCTTGGGCAGCGACTGCTGGATCACGAACTCCAAGGGGGCCTGGCCCCCTGCCGCGTGCTGGGCGCTATCTCCGTCCATCTCCAACTGCGCCGGGGTGACCGAGCGCCCCTCCGGACGCGCGACAAAAGCCGCGCCGGCGACGCCGTTGGGGCCCGCCCCGTAACGGCCCGCCAGGCACTCCGCTATCGCCTTCCGAGTTTTCCCCATCACCACGAATTAGCGCCTTCCCCGCGCGCTGATGCCCCTCCCCGGCCTCAACTCATGCGTCGCGCCTGGTGCGACCCGGCTCGGGGACCGAAAAAGGCCCGCCGTTCGGGAACACGCGGAAGAAATCGCTGCACTTGCTAGCCGCGGGGAACTCGGAGACCGCCTTCCGTGACAGATCCAACGCCTTGATCGTGCTGTTGCCTTGTTCAGCCCGAAGCGCGCATGCCGCGCGCGCCACTTCCACTGCCCGGCGGAGCAAGCGTCCGCGCCATAGGCTGCGTCTCGAAACCAACCAGGATGAGACGACGCGCGCCCTCCTGCGCACGCCGCTCACCTCTACCACCATCGCGGCCTCCATCACGGGAAGCCCCCTTGGACACGGCCGCAAGCTTCTTCTCGATCTATTTAACCTTCTCCTGCACCTGGTTGTTTACCCCTTCCACGGCCACCGCCTTGGGAGGTGCCTCCTGCATCGGAGAAGCTTCCACTGTCGTGAGACGGCCCTTGAACTCGCCTCTCTGTTCGTGGGCCAACTTCTCCGTGGCCTTCAAAGACGCAGTCGTCTGCTTCCTCAGGATCACGAAAGACTCCCGACTGCGAAGTCTGAACGCACAAGGCCTGCATTTTACTGCAGAGCTGCTGCGCCTCCTGCGTGCGCGCGGTCATCTGGAACGAAAACTGCTCGAGTAGCGATGTGGTGCTGGTCGGTCCTGCACTTCCCGTGCCATCGCTACGACTCCGCGCGAAGCTGGGCGTCGCCGATGGGCTCCTGCGCCTGCGCGGGTGACTCGCACTCGGACTCATGCCAGGGCGCGGGGGCAGCGAGTCCGAGGCCTGGCTGCGCTGGTTACGGTCGCCCCGCTTGACCATCGCTGCTGGTGTCACGCACGAAGTGGGGTGACGCGCGCAGTCAGCACGCCAGAACGTGAAACTGGGCCCTGTGTCCGATCGCCTGGACCTCCCCGTCGGCAGCGACCAAGGTTCAAACTCCAGGGCGCAGGTTTGATCCTTGAACCACAATCGCTCGAGCCAAATGGCGTAAGGTTTCGGACCTCCTGGGGGTTTCTTCGGCTGTCTTTGGGCGACATTGGGCGCCTTTGGGGCCGCGTTGGAGCGCTTGGAAGCCAAGAATCCGTCTAGAACCAACGGGAGATCAATTTTTTTTGCACATTGGAGCCCCGTCAGCGCTGCTCTTGGAGGCCTCTTGGGGCGTCTTCGCGGCTGCTTGGTCCGTGTGGAGGCCATCTTGGGCGTCTTGGCGCGATCTTTGGGCGTCTCGGGGCCCTCTTGGAGAGTCTGGGAGCTTTGTTGGCGCGTTCGGGTGGCGTTTTGTCGGCCTCAGGGGCCCCCCAAGCGCCCCGGCACACATATTTGTGGTCGGGGCTGCGCCCCTGGGGCCCTGGGCCCCGGTCCCCCATGGTGTATACACACACATCTCTCTCTCTCTCTCTCTCTCTCTCTCTCTTTCTCTCTCACTCTCTCTCTCAGACTCTCTCCCTCTCTCTCTCTCTGTCTCTCTCTCTCTCTCTCTCTCTCCCTCTGTATATATATATATGTACATGTCTATATATATACACACGCTGGAAACATCGCGCCCGCTTCGCGCTCGCTCAAGTTCTAGCGAGGGTCATGATCATCGTCATCACTGTCATTCTCATCCACGTCATCTTAATCGTCATGGTCATGGTCACCTTCACCAGCACCATCACAACAATCGTCATTATCACCATTATCATCAGCATCGTGATCTCCATCGCCATCATCGTCATCGTACTTTTCAACATCATCATCCGAATCATTAACATACTCATACTGTTGGCCGTCGTCGGAGTCGTCGCCGGCATAATCATCGTCACTATCATCAGCGTCATCGCCGTCAGCATACCCGGTCCACGGCAGTCCCCTTACCCTCCTCCACTTCCCGTTCTCTCTCTTCCCATCATCTTCTACTCATCCTTTTCCTCGTCGGCGTCTCCCTGAAAGCGATCCCTGTTCCTTCACCTCCTCCTCCTCCTCTTTTTCCTCCTCCTGTTGCTCCTCCTCCCCGTCTTCCCCGCTCTTCGGTGTGTCCCTCCTTGTGTTCCTTCACCTACTTTACCTCCTTCCTCCTCTCGAGCCCTCTTCATCCTGCGCTCCCCTTCCCTCCTCGTCCTCAGCATCCCTCCCCGAGCCAGAGAATCAGAGAACAAGATAATCTTACAATCAAAATGTCCCTCCTCCTCTTCCCCCTCCTCTTCCCCCTCTTCGTCCTCCAGATCTTCCTCCCCCTCCTCATGCTCCTCCTCCTCATCCTCCTCCTCTTCCTCCTCCTCCTGCTACTGCTCGTCCTTCTCCTCCTCCTCCTCCTCCTCCTCCTTCTCCTCCTCATCTCTCAGTTCCTCCTCCTCCTCCTCTTCCTCCTCCTCCTCCTTCTCCTCCTTGTCCTCCTCCTCCTCCTCCTCCTCCTCCTCCTCCTCCTCCTCCTTTCTCCCAATGCACCCAGTACACGGGTGCCTACTGGAACGCGTGCCGAGAGCCTTTTTGGAAGCATTGTGGCAGTCTCTGGAGCCTCTCCGGGCCTTCCTGTGGAATCCTTTGGGGCTTTGCTGGCCCGTCTGAGGGCCCATTTCAGCCGTTCCGGGTCCCTCTTGGCTCGTCGTGGGGAGCTCAGCCCGTCTTGGGGCCCTCCTGGGGCCCTCTCCGACCATATAGGAATCCTCTGGTGGCCCCCTCGGGCTTCCTGGGGCCTTTCTTGGGCCGTCTTGTAGCTCTTCTGCGCCACTCGAAGCTCTCTTCAGTCCATCTTGGAAACCTCTTTGGGGCCTCTGGGGCTGTCTGGGGCCCATTTTGGTAACCTCTTGGGCCGTCGCGATCGCTGGTAGAACTGGAAAGCGTACTCTCAGAAATATACGTTATTTGTAAAGGAAATGCTTGATTTTTGCCGTTGGAGGGCCTTCCCAGCGGCCTCTTGGACAGTTGTGGGTGTCATTTTGGGCCTTTTGTGGCCCGTCTGTGGGAGCCCACTTCGGCTGTCCCAAGCCCCTCTTGGCATGTCATGGGTAGCTGAGCCGTCTTGGGGCCCTCATGGAGCCCTCTCCGACCATGTATGGATCCTCAGGTGGCTCCCTGGGGCCCTCCGGGGACTCTCTCGGGATGTTAGCTCCCGCTCCTGTTCCTCCACTTTTTTGCATTGGCCATGCGACGAGTCTCGCCGGCCGCTCCCAGCCCCCAGCGCGGGGTCGGAGCGGCAGAGAACAAGGGCAGGAGGCGCGGCGGCGCCGCGGCACGGAATGGGAGGAAAAATAAGGTTGTGGGAGGGCGGGGCAAGCGACCTCACTCTCGACCCCCAAATGCGACAGACATGCTGCAGGGCGCATGCGCGTGCGCACAGCGAAGCGAGGAGGGGGAGGTGAGAGTCTAACTTTGCTTCACCTTTGTGAATCCGAGTTTTGGGGCTCTCTTGTGCTTGTGCTGCTCGACGCTCTCATGAGGCTGTCTTGGAGCCCTCTTGGGGGCCTCGTGGACCGTGTGGCGCCGATTGGGGGAGCCTTTGGGGCCAACGTGGCCGCCGATGGAACATAAGAAGCGAATATCATAGAAATGTACGTTTTTCCATAGGAGATGCTCGTTTTTCGTCCCCTGGGAGCCTTCTCAGCGGCCTCCTGGACCGTCTTCAGGGATTCCTGGTAGGCCTTTTTCGGACCCTCTGGGAACCCAGTTCGGCCGTTCCGGGTCCCTCTTCGCCTGTCATGGGGACCTGAGCCCGTCTTGGAGTTCTCGGGGGGCCCTCTCCAACCATGTAGGGATCCTCCGCTGGCCCCCTCGGGGTTCATCGGTACTCTCTTGGACCGTGTTGGAGCTGCTCGAAGCTCTCTTCGGGCCATCTGGGGGCCCTCTTGGGGGCCTCTTGGGCCGTCTGGGGCTCATTTTGGGAGCCTCAAGGGCCGTCGCGGCCGCTGGTAGGACTGAAAGTCAAATTTCCAGGAAATGTATGCTTTTCCATAGGAGCTGCTTGATTTTTGCCCTTGGAAGGCCTTCTCGGCGGCCTCTTGGACCGTCTTGAGTGCCTTTGTAGCCGTCAAGGAGCAGTCTTGGGCTGTCTTCAAGCGCTCGTGACCCGCCCGGGAGCCATCTCAGTGTGCTCTTCAGCCACGAGCCTCTGGGCGGGTCTGGGGCCCCTTCTGAACCCTCAGGCCCCCCTCCGCCCCCCATGCGAACCAGAGGTCGCAGTTCTGGGCCCTCCCCTGGCCTACTCCAATGTATATATATATATATACAGATACACATACATACATACATATGTATGTACACAAATATATACACACATAATAGTTTTCCGATCTGTATTTATACACGATTATATACACGTAGTTGTATATGCATGTGTACATATAGTTATATATATGTGCAAGTGCGTATATGTCGGTGTATATGTGGATGTATATGCATATGTACATGTAGGTGCGTATGTATATGATTATATATTGTGTACATGTATGTGTCTAATAGTTGTGTATATATATATATGGTTACAATATATGTTTATACACCGACGTACACCTATACTCATATCGATGGTATCAGCATACGTAGATGTATCGATGTGGTTCTGCCCGACGGCTATCAAAGGCAAAAAAGGGGTCCTTAAGAAGAGGCCTGTGGGAAGAAAGGAGGGCGTCTATGAGCTCCCCTGCCTTTCTACAAACCCTCATCATTCGGGCCAATGCCTTCTGTGCGCCGCCGGCTCGTACCTCCTTCCTCGTGTCTCCTCCCTCGTACCTCTTCCTGACGCCCCCGACTTCGCCACCTCGACTCCTGCTGCCGCCCCCGGAAACAAGTAGCCGCCATGAAAATGCAATATACACGCACCCTGCCTCTAATGGTTGTCGGTGGTGCTTGCAACTTGCTGATGGAAGGTCAGCACATGCACGCGTCTGTCCCTGTTTCCGCTGCTGCCCGATATGACCCCTGCTGGCGCTCGCGGCGGTTTCGTCCTGCTGTTACTGCTTCTACTCTTCCTTTGGTGTCATGAGTCTTGATACGCGGGCCACTATGAACTTGTGTGGCACTTGACTGAGAAGAAACACCAACGTTGCGACCATCTCATGATCGAAGCTCCCTGCGCCAGCTCTACGCAAGATTTCCCGGGACCCGACACGAGGCAAAAACATCTATCTGGTTGTTCCTCGACGCCCGGTTTTGAGCCCCGGTGGTCCCCAGGCGGTCCCAGGAGGCCCCTGGGGGTCCCCGAGGTCTCTGAAGGCTCCTTCTGAAGGCACAAAGAAATCCGACAACGCCAGAAATGTCGTGTAACATCTCGGTTCTCGACCAACGTGCTCGTGCCAATCCACAACCTCCTCAAGCGCGCCTCTGCAAAATGCTTGAACATCCGCTCCACCGTGCGGAACCCCGAGCTGCCAACATCTGGGCTCCAAGCAATGTGGTGGGGGCAGCGCTCGTTCAGGAACCTGCGCATGGGGACGACGACGACGACGACGACGACGACAGCGACGAGAGCCGTCGTCCACCACTCCGACGATGACCAAACGAACGACGAACGACGAGCGACGAGCGACGAGGACGAGGACGACGACGATCACGGCAAACGACGACGATGAACGAGGAAGGACGCAACCAGAGGATCCTGGCCAGCGGCCCCCGAAAGCCCCTGGAGGCCCCCCTGAGGTCCCGCGGACGCCCCAAGGGACCCCGAGCACACACACACACAAACACAACCACAAAACCCAAACACAAACACAAACACAGACACAACCACAAGCACAAGCACAAGCACGAGCACAAATACAAGCACAAACACAAGCACAAGCACAAACACAAGCGCAAACACAAGCACAAACACACGCACGCACACACGCACACGCACAAACACACGCACACGCACACGCACAAACACACGCACGCGCGCGCACACACAAACACACACGCACACACACACACACACACACACGCACACACACACACACACACACACACACACACACGCACACGCACACGCACACGCACACGCACACGCACACGCCACACGCCCGCGCCCGCGCCCGCCCACGCACGCGCACGCGCACGCGCACGCGCCTCCGCGCACGCGCCCGCCCCCGCCCCCGCCCCCGCCCCCGCCCCCGCCCCCGCCCCCGCCCCCGCCCCCGCACCCACACACCCACACACCCACACACCCACACACACACACCCACACACCCACACACCCACAATTTTTGGCGCCGGCGGCTAGGCAGAGTAACTGCGCTGGCGGAAGAGGTAACTAAACGGGGGCACCTTTTTAGCGAAGTCTGCCACAATGCAAAAGGGATGGAAAGTGGGGAGGGCGGGCGGCCGAAGGGGGGGGGGGGAAAGGCAAAGGCCGCTCAGGGGGACGGGTCACGCCCGGAGCGAATGGCGCGGCCGGCCCCGCCGGCAGGGACAGCGGCGGCTGCTGCGCGCGGGTTCCAGCGGCGACGGGGCGCAGTGCAGCGCTAGAATGGGTCCAGCGGGTCAAGGGTGCGTTGCAATCAGGGGCCTGGGTCACCAGGCGGTGGCTGCGCGTTCCCCAGGTGGGGACGCGGGGGGGGCGGCGAAAAGGTATCGCCGAGGGAGGGGCACACACGCAGACGCGCAGATGCGCAGATGCGCACACACAGGCACACACACACACAACACACAACACACACAACGCACACAACGCACACAACACACACACACAACATACAACACACAACACACAACACAAGCGCACAACCACACACAGCACACACAACACACTTACCCACTTACTTACATACATACTTACTTACTTACGTACTTACTTACTTACTTACTTACTTACTTACTTACTAACTTACTAACTTACACACGTACACTTACACACACACACACACTCACGCACACACTTGCACACAGACACACACACACACTCCCACGTACACAACACAACACACACACACACACACACACACAACACACACACACACACTTACACACAATCACGCGCGCGCACACAAAGTGTCCCCCGTCCTCGCTCTTCAATCCGGGACAGCGGCGGCAGCGAGAGCGCTTGGGAGCCCCTGCTGCTTCCTCCGAGGGAGATATGCCGACGACGAGGATGCCCGCGACAGGCATGGCAAAAACAGGAGCTGAGGGAAACAGGCAGGACCCAAATGGCTTTCCCCCAAACCCCCTTGCTCACCCTTTGGCACGCCCGCAATGGGTACGGACAAAAATGGGCATGATGTCCAACAGCAAATGTTGTCCAACACCGATAGCGGGCGCTGCTGGGCAGCCGCCCCTCTGTCTCACAAGGCCGACGTCTGCGGAGACGCCGACAGCGAGCCCTGGTCAAAATGAACATGAGCTGCTGTTCAGTCTTCGTGGCCATTCTTTCCGTACCCATTTTGGTCCTCCAGAACTAGAGGCCTCCTAGATGGGGTCGGAGTAGATGGGGTCTGATGATCGCGCCGCATCGCCAGTGTCTCAGTGATGCATCGGCGATGCACCGTCGACGTCGGCGACGCATCGGCGACGTCGGCGTGGAGAAAATCGGGCTCCGCATCGAGCCGCATCGCCAATGCGTCGGCGATGCGGCGCGATCCTCCGGCCCCACCTGTTCCGACCCCATCTGGGAGGCCCAGAAGGATCCGGAGTCGCCTTCTGGCGGTCCTGGCGCCCACGGAACACGGCGAAAAGCTCAGCTCCACGGCCCGCTTCCCTCGTGGCGAGGCGGGGGCACGAACCTCCCCTGCTGGACCCCGCACGCCTGGCCAAGGGGAGGGGGACGACGCCGACGGTGCCGACGCTGCCGACGCCGAACGACGCCGACGACGACGACGGCGACGGCGGCGACGGCGAGTGCGACGACGACGGCAACGACGACGACGACGACGCTGACGACGACGACGCGGACGCTGGTGCCGACGCCGACGACTGGCGGGCGAAGAACGATATAAGATAAACTTTTCCGCCGTCGGGGACGCCTGACCCCCGGGCGGCTGGACAGTTATAGCTCTTCGTGGCAACGTAGGGGTATAAACTTTGTAGCCGCCCGTGGGGCGGGCGTCCCCGACGGCGGAAAAATTCATTGTATACCGTTCTTCGCCCCCCCTAAACGACGAATGTACGGCAGCTTCGCGTTTGTCGACCCCGGCGATGGTTCCCGACACCGCGGGGACCGTTCAACCTTGAACGATCGGCCCTTTCCAAAAGGTCGGCTCGATCAAGGACGGGCCGATTCTGGGCCACAGGCGGCGTTCAACCTTAAACGCACACGCTGGGGTCACCGCTGGTCGACACGACGCGAGCCCGCCAAGCCGTCGGCGTCGTCGTCAGCGTCCGCGTCGTCGTCGTCAGCGTCGTCGTCGTTGCCGTCGTCGTCGCCCTCGCCGTCGCCGCCGTCGCTGCCGTTGTCGGCGGCGTCGTCGTCGTGGTCGTCGTTCGGCGTACCGAGCTGGGAGCCTCTCCTGCTGCGCCCGGCACGCTGGGCCCAGCGCGCGGAAGACCAGCGCCTCCAGGTGCCCCCGCGCCGCGGGCGACGAGGCCGCCCGCCTCGCGTCGGCAGGGCGGCCGCGGCCGCCGCCGCCGGCGTCGTCGTCGTCGTCGTGATCGTCGTTCGTCCTGATCGTCGTTCGTGGGCGTCGTCGTCGTCGTTCGTCGTCGTCGTCGTCATTCGTCGTCGTCGTCGTCGGCGTCGTCGTCGTGGTTCGTCGTCGCTGGCATCGGCGTCGTCGCCGGCGTCGGCGTCGTCGCCGGCGTCGTCGTCGTCGCTGGCGTCGGCGTCGTCGGCGTCGTCGTGATCGTCGTCGTCGTGATCGTCGTCGTCGTCGTCGGCGTCGTCCTCGCACAGGGAGGTGCCGGCCTCGCGGCGGCCCGCATCTCGCCCCACACCTCGGAGCGGGGCGCCGCGGGGAGGGGCTGGCCTCGGAAGTGAGTCGGAGGGCTGGCCTCGGATGAGTCGACGATGGAGGAATTCTCGTCGGGTCTTCGTTTTGAATGCGCATGGCTCTGGGTTCCTCCTCCTCCTCTCTCCTCCTTTCATCCTCCTCCTCCTCCTCCTCCTTCTCCTCCTTCTCCTCATTTTCTTCTCCTCCGTTCCTCCGTTCCTTCTCCTCCTCCTCCTCCTCCTCCTCCTCCTCCTCCTCCTCCTCCTCCTCCTCCTCCTCCTCCTCCCGCTTCTGCCCTCCGCATGTCCTCATGCGCACTCCTCACAGGCTTCGTGGTCCCATGGGCACTCCACCTAAGGCCCCAGTGGCTGCGTGCGCATGCCCTCTCCACATCTTGGCGGCGCACCCCTCACACGCTTCGTGGCCCTATAGGGAGCTACATCTGAACCCCCAGCGGCTGCCTCCGAATGCCTGCTCCGCACCACGTCGGCGCACCTCTCACGCGTTTCGTGGCCCCACAGGGAGCTCCACCTAAGGCCCTAGTGGCTGCGTTCGCATGCCTTCTCCCTACTACTTTGGCGCACCCCTCACACGCTTCGTGGACCCAGAAAGGGGATCCACCTGAAGCCCCAGTGGCTGCGTTCGAGTGCCTTCTCCACTACATTCCAGTGCACCACTTACACGTTTCGTGGCCCCCCAGTGGGCTCTTCAGGAGACGACGCACACAACTACGGCACTCACAACTGCATGTGGTTGACACCCCAGACGGCCGACAGGCCCAAGGCGGCACCAAGACGGCCCAACAGAGCCCCAAGACGACCTATCAGAGTCTCCACAGGACCCTAAGACAGCCCCAAGACGGCCCAGGTAGCCCCCCGGAGAGCAGGGTGACCTCGCGAGAGCCCCTCCAGGAATAGCGACGAGAGGCGTCACATGGTGCGGCCTCCTAGGTGGTGCCGGAAGCGTTGCCACACCAAGCGTTGCGCGGGCACGGCGCTGGGACTTGCCGCAGGCAGCCTGGCACATGCCACAGGCAGCTGGATGTCGCACCGAGGGCTCCGATCCCCCGCATGGATGTTCCAAAGGCCTCGGGAGCTCTGGTAGAGACCTCGCCTCCGCCATGCCCGAAGATTGCCCCAGGGGACGTGCTGGAGCCCTCTTGGGGGCCACTCGGGGCGGTCGAAGAAATCACTGAACATTTTCATGCTTTCGAGTGGCGCGCTCACGCCCACCACGGCCCAAAACGCCCCAGCGAAGACAGCCGCTACAGCAAGCCACCAGTGAGAGAAAAATTGACATGACATATCCTGTCACTCAAGGGAAAATCTCATACATGTTGCGCATTGTGCCGTTCATGCAAGTGGACGCTTTGTCCTTGGGATCGGCGTTGCATCGGTCAGCATGTCTTCCTTACCTTGCTTGAGGGCACTGAAGCCCAGAGCGCAGCTCGCCGTAAGCATGCTCGCACGCACAAAAGGGCAACCATCTTGATATAGCGTGATCTTACTCGTAACAAACGGCACACTTGTCCAGAATGCCGAGGGTCGAGAAAACCGGTCGTCTAGTAGGCTTCGCTCTCGTGCGCGATGTGGGCACTCGGCAAAGACGCGGCGAAAACTGGGGGTTGCTCCCCCGCAGCGCTTGCAAGAATATCCTGATTCCCTGCGCCTCTGAAGTCACCACCCCTGATCTGAAGACTGACAGCAGTGCGCGATATTCCTCTCCCAAGGACCAGAACAATTTGTCGTATACTTTGCTTGAAGACGCGTGGGCATCAACATCGCCAATCTCCTCTGCGTCGAACCTCGTGCGCACCACTTGTTGCAGACAACGAACGCGCGCTATACTTCTGAGGGCGTGCTGAGCGGCCTTGCTGTCGGTGGTGAACCTCTCGTCGTCGCCACAAGCCGTTCAACTGCATCGCGGATCCTGAAATCGTCGTGCGAGGCGACTTGTAGTACTGCGCCCTGCGTGGGCGAATATCGGATAAAGGAGAGCCCCGATACCCGAGCATGCTCTGAGAGCGTGGTGCCCAGCAGGAAGTCACCCCAAACCAATCTATCATCAATCCACTTTTGAAATCCCAGAGTAGCTACAGAGTGCTCAGGATGCAATAAGATATTCTGTGCCCAGTAGCGGCCATAACACCACCAGTTCGAGCTCGCCCTCCAGAGAGCTCTGCACAATAACCTTACAAAGCGTCGTGGTGGTGGCGTCGCGATGAGCAGTGCCCATGTCCACAAGGGCCTCACGTATGCGAATGCCAATCTAAGACGCACTTGATGACTCCCTGGGATGGCCCCCAGCACGGATATAGCGGTCTCTAGCTTCTGCCAGCCGCCCCATCCGGAGGATGGGGGCGGCGCGGTCCGTGGGCGTTGCCGGGATACCGAGATGTTCCACCTGTAGAGTAAAAGGGTCGTCGATACTACAGCGTTGTCTCTTGCTCTGGTTCTCGCAGTGGCCGATGGACGTGTCGAACTGCTGGGTCATCTGCGAGTCAGCGTCGAGGTCCTCGGTATTCTGGGCAACCAAACTTCTATCGTCCATGAAGGCGCGGCCTTGAGACGTCAGTACCCATGGCACCAGTGTCGATATGACCGCACACGGAGCCGCGCTGTCGCCCTGACCTCTGCACGGATCCAGTGGCGGGGCGAGCTCACCCTGGATGCAACAGATCCGCGGGCCCTTTCAGGCAGCGTAGCACGTCTTCATAACAGCGCATGGCATGGCTGAGTGATCAGCCGCTTCCAACGCCAGGTCGTGGTCCACCTGGTCGATGGCCGCCGAGAGGTCCATCTCCGCGCCGCACTGACCTCCGGGGCAATATTTCAACCACGTGGATACTGCATGCACCACCGACGCGTGTCTGCGGTTGGCCCACTGCAGGTCTGGAGGGGAAGCTGAGGCCGTCGCAAGCGCCCGTAGCCAGGCGCGCAGCAGCGCGAATCCCACTGAGATGGATCGGGTGGCTTCTCCGCCCTTTGGAATGCCTGCCACGCGCCAGGGGAAGATAGCGCGCAGCACTTCTTGAAGTAGCCGTCCACGCAGTTCAACTGCTTCTTGAGACGTCAGAACCCACAACTCGCACAACTCTTCGAAGACGGCGGGGTAGATCTTCTCCAGTGCCTTCAACTCACGACTCGTCCAGCCGCCGGGTCCTGGGCAACCTTTAGCTTTGCGGACTGCGCGCGCGAAGGTGTCGAGCGACGGCGCCCAGTCCTGTGGGCAAATAGACTTCGGGAAAGCCACGGCCGAGGCATGCTGCCTCAAGGCGGCGACGTAGCCCGTGTTGTCGTAGTTCTCTGGCTTCCAGTGCTTGGCCCACTGCTCGCGCATATCTGCTGCTGCATGAGCTGGCGCTGGTTGGCCCCCCTTGAATAGGGGGGTGGCCGCTTTCCACACTTAGTTGCTCCAGCTTGCGAAACGCTGTCGCCACTGTGCGGTGCTCCTCATCTGTATCTGGACCTGCTCGGCAGTGATTCCCTGCGGGGTCTGGCCCAGCGCGTCCGAGTAGTTAGGTGCGCCGGCTGCGGCGACCCGAACCAATCCGTCGAAGGCTGCGGCTGCCAGCTGAGCGTGGTGCTTCGGCTCCAGCTTGGCAATGCCAGGAGCTCCTTGGCGTAAGTGTTCTGCGAGACGTCGATGTAGTCGTCGGAGTCGTCTCAGTGCCATGGTCTCGTCAGGTCCGTGGGCTGGCGAGTGGGAGGTCGGGCGCGAGGTAGGCTGCGAGCCTTTGCCACGTCCCGTTTCACTTTGTACTGAGAGCAAACCGCGTTCGACTGCCAGTAGCATTGCCTTCTCCGCCCTCTTGTACCAGTAGCGCCAGCGCTCAACCAGCGGTGGGTCGGTGGCGTCGTTCAGGTAGCGGGGCGGGCCCACCTCTTGGTCAAGTAGTTCTTGAAGTGGAGCTTTCTCCACGTCGTTGGCGCTGCGCTCAGGTGTGCATGAGGCTGTGCGTCGCAGACGGGTAGGCGTCGGGTTGGCATGCGTGATGTTCAGCACGTAGCCCACCAAAGCATGATGAAGGATGCCAGGTAAAAAATGTGTCGTGACCTGCGCCGGTGCAGCTCCTTCTCCCCGCAACAAGGCCCTCGTGGGGCAAGTGCCTGATGCCGTCGTGGAGGTCTCCGTGCCCTGTCGCGCCGTCCTCACGCGCCATCGCGCGGTCAAGGCTGGGTAGAGAGGGCGCCACTTGAGATCCCCAATAACGTAGACTGGATGGCCCATGTCCCTCAGTGATTGGAAATATCCGAAGGAGTGCTTGAACCACCCTCTACCCACGTCCACGGGGCCGTAGACCGACAGGAAAGTAGCGGCAACACAGCGCACCCCGACCATGCGGCGGCCGAGGTCTTTGTGGCGGAGGAGGGTGATCTTGCCGAGGGAGCGGCGCCAAAGGATGGCGCGCCACCCCTGTCGCACTGTCCCGCGAGCCTGTGTCGGTGGTGGGTCTGGGCAGGCAATGCCCCGTCCAAATATCATGGCGTTTTGGAAAATCCGTCGTGGTCGAAGCTCGTGATGTCGCATCTCCTGGAGGCATAAGGCTGTCGCTGTCGGTGCTGGTGGAGTCTCCAGCATGGTGATCAGCCTGGCTTTGGACATGCTCGTGACATTGATGGTGCGTACTTTGCGCTTCGTGGAGTCTGAGCCTGGCGCTCCCGTCGCAAACAAATCATCGGCGTCCAGCTCCCCCCCTGCTTCTGTCGTTCGGGCTGCGCCTGGCTCGGGCTCGAGGAGCACCCAAGTTCAGGACTTGAACTATGTGGCTGTCCAGCATGTAGCGACTGAGCCTGGGGGGCAGACGTCGGCAGAAGCCACTCGCGACCGGGACTTGCGCTCTGCGCGCCAGAACTTCGTGGATTGGCAGAGGGGGGCCCAGAGACGGATCCCTTGCCAGTGCGTTCTAACTCCTGTGGCCCAGCTCGTGGCGACGGCGCCTGGCTCGGGCTCGAGGAGCACCCGAAACCAAGACTAACGCCCTGAACTTCGGGATGCCGTGAGCTGACAGAGGGGGGTCCAGAGGATCCCTTGCCAGTGCGTTCTGACTGGGTATCTGCGGCCGTGGAGGTACCAGTAGGCGTCGGCGGCGAGGCGGGTGAACCCGCGGCTGCAGTACCTGTGGCCGAGGCGGCGCAGGTAGGCGCAGGCGGCGACAGGGATGAACCAGTCGCCGCAGTACCTGGGGCCGAAGCTGCACAGGTAGGCGTGAGCAATGACAAGGTTGAACCAGTAGCCGAAGCCCGCGAAGCGCGGGCACGTTGAGCCTTCGGCGCGGGACTCGAAGGGCGCGCAGGATCTGCATCAGGAACATGGTGTACATGCTCTGTGTCCACTGCAAAAACAGCTTTTGAATTCGGATCTGCAAATACAGTCTTTGAATTCTGTGTGGCGGCACTTGCTTTTTGGGTGGGGGCTCGTTCCGCTGGCCCGATGGGCGTGAACCTGTGGCCGTGCTCGCTGATGCTGGGGAGCTTCGCGGTGCCGTTGCGCTTGCTCTGTTCTTCTGTCTCTTGCTTGCTGGCATCGGCCCCTGCGAGGGGCGCCCTCCGCGCAGGGGCGGATCCCGCCAAGATGAAGTAGGCAAGGCGTGGGCCGCGGGCTTCTGGCGCACCGGCGCGCGCTTGCACGCCGTCGGCAGGCCCTGAGCTTCACGACGTAGCCTCTCTTCGCGATCGTACTGCTTCCAACCGTAGCGCTTGTAGTACTCGACGTAGTAGCCTGGAGCCTTTGAGGCCTTCCTCCCAGCGCTGCTTCACCCGCCTGGCGGAGTCGGCGACTCGCTTCTGAGCAACTTCGCCCCCCGCGAGTCTGGCCAAGCCCATCTGGAAGGTCACTCCCTCTGGGCGCCGTTGATGCGGAACTTGGCGAGGCAGAGCTGCCTGCCGCACTTGATGCAGACGTACTGTGTGTTCATCATGCGCTTGTGCTGCACGCTCTTGGCCGAGCCCTCTCCAGGGTCGCAAGTGACCTCGGGCTGCGCGGGTGTGAGCTCGGCTCTCCAGAGCTGGAAGAGCCTCCAAGCTTTGTCCCGCTTGGCCCTGGTCATGGCCGCAACGCTTAGCCCTCCCTTGCCCAGGCGATGCTGACGTGCATCTGCTGGTTCCTTGGGTGGGTCTTCTTCCTGACAGATCCGCCAGAGCTTTTTGACCTCCGTCCACCTTTGCTGGTTCGTCTGGAGGGGGTCGGGGGCCCATTTGCCGCGCGGGCAGTGCCGGTGCATGTGCGAGTCAGCCAACGTTGGCAAAGGAGACGGCATGGGGCTGTGATTCAGTATGCATTCAATTCGCCTGGACAAAATGAGCCTGGTCTTCGGCGCGGCGTTTCCGAAAATACTCTGCACCCGTCGCGTCGAAATCGAGGCCCGTGACGGCGTCGGCGCGTCGAAGATAGCCATCGCCGCAGCCGAAGACAACGAGCTCGATGACTGGGACTTCTTTGACTCTGGTGTCGGAGGATCGGCACGATCAGCTGGGCCATGGCGAGGTCCAGCCTTCTTCTGAGTAGTCTTCCCCCAGCCCGTGAAGTGACGGGGGGGTGGCCTCGCGTTCTTCCTCCATTCATCTTCGACTTCAGGAGGTGCAGGCGCTGTTCCAACCAGTAGTTGTGCGTGATTGTCAACCGAGGTCATCCAGCACTAGTGCTTCGTCTTGATCGCGGCGGGCGCTGAGGGCCGCGCCCACCCCGCACCTGGCTTTTCCACACCAAGAAATCGCATGCGACTGCCGCCGCTGCTGCCTTGATGGAGGAGGACGTAGCATATGTTCCCGCCTTGGCCTGGCCATCAGCGCCCTTCTGCGGCAACTTCTGCTTGGGCATCTCCGCGGCAACCCTCGCTCGAAATGCCGCCTGGATCTTCCCGCCTGGGCCAAGGTCGGCCTCCGTCGGTAGCTTCTCGCCAGCCTTGCCTCGAGGGCTGGAGAAGAGTTGAAGTGAAAGCCCGCCGACACATGGAGGCAATCACCCTTGCCCCCACACTCTCGCTGCCTGAAAGATGCTTCCCATGGAGCTTTGGCTGGCATTAACTGCTGAGCTTCCTTGATCGAGGCTCGCCGTCACCAATGCTGCTCCCCGCGTTCGTCATTGTCGCATCACCGTCAGCATCAGGCCTGGTCGCCTGGAGTAGCTGTGGGTGCTTCGGGCTGGTGTCTGGCGGGGCTGGGGGTGCACCAAGCTGTCTTGGGTGACTTCGCCGGTGCAGGTCTGGAGTTCCCGCGCCGCGGTGCTGCCAAGCTCGCCATCACCCTGATTTGAATTCCAAAACTCTGCCACTTTCCAACTGCTGAAGATCGGTGCGGATGAACCAGCGCCTCGTACCACAGCGAGCAGTACTGTAGACATTCTTGAAGCCACGATCGACTGCTCAAGCCTTCACCTCTTCTTCTTGGGACCATGATGTGGGCGTGCGTTGAAGAAGCCATCGAGGCTGTACGTCGGCCGTCGCAACACTGGCCGAGATCACCCCGAGGGAACTGTTCTCTGAGGGCGGTGCACCAGACGTCCTGCTGACGCCTTCGCCACTGCCTGAACTCTCTTGAAGTAGGCCGCGGCCTGCTCGTCGTCCCTGAGCCCATGCCACGATGGTACCAAAGATGTCCCCTGGCGATTGAGAAACACTCCATCTGGTAATGGATACTGGATACTGCATGATGTCTTCGATGTGGCCGGCCTGCGCGATGAGGATCGCGGTCGCCTCCGTCTCGTGCGCCACCGCTCCCTTGGTTTTGGGTACTTGCTTTGTGAGGGCCGCACTCAGGATGAGTGCTGGAAGAGCCAATGGGGTCTCTTCTGCATCAGCATATGGCCTATCTGGTGCATAGTCACGAGCAACTGTGACTTTCACCGCGATCGGCTTGTCCGCGGGGTCTGGGATCTCCACGTCGTCCCTCACTCCTTTGGGTGGTCCTGTCTTCTGTGGGGCCTTCTGGCCCGTGCGAAGAATCTGAGCTGGGACCAGGGTGACTCCCCCACCGTTGGCCTCGACTGCAACGTCGATGTTGTCCCAGCCGTCGTGGTTGGTTGCTTCGTCGAAGAGCACATATGTGGCCGTCGGGTTCGGGTGTCCCCTCGCAACAAACCACTCCACCACACTGTCGTACTCTTTTCCCCTTGCAGGCAATGACTGGTGGTGCCTACGGGTCGTCGTAGTCCTTGTCTTTGATGTGTGCTGCTTGCCTCACCGCGGATGATCCCCATGGGTTCTGGAGCAGCTTATATGTATGAATTAGGCGACGTCGAGGCACTTTTCCCCGCGCCCTTGGTCGCAGCACTCTTGTCGGTCTTCTTGTTCTTGCCTGAGCTGTCCTCGAGCAAATATCTGAGTGTCGCGATCATCTCCTTGTGGGTCGGAGGCTGATCTTGTTCATCCGCTTGACGAATGAGACGCTTGAGTCGAACCAACAGGCGTGGATCCCTTCGTCTGTCGGTCTTCTGGGTGAGGCGGTCTGGAGGTCGATGTTTTGACTTCATCCTGGGTGCTCGATTGCTCCCACGGACTTGGCCCGCCAACGCAATCGCTCTTCCAGGAGAGCCAGCTGGGTCTGAACCGTCGCTTTGTCGTTCCCCCGACACCATTCCGAGTACATACCACGTCCTCCCGCGAGAAGCGGGTCTGAGTCTGAGTCAGTATCTGAAGTGTCAACCTGTGTGTCGGTCGACTGGTGCAGCTCCGTCGTCCTCAGCGCGTCGACCGTGTCGGGCACCATGGACATGTCGTGCTGCTCCTCGTTGTGTGTCACATGCGTGAGGCTTTCGCAGTACTCCGCAGCGGCGGGAGCCGTCCCATCAACCTCGACAAAGAGAGGTACTGCATCGTTGGTAGCAAGCCACCAGTAGGGGCACACAAAAGACTCCCAAGACTGCCTGAGAATGCGCAATGAACTTTCAGAGCCCTCTGCCCCAAGATGGCCCCGCCCCTGGGACCGGCACAACAGACCCCCAACAGTCACCGAAGAGGCCACCCGAGGCCCCCAAGAGACCCCCACGGGGCCCAAAGATACTTTTAAGAGGTCGCACAGGGGCCCCCAAGAGGCCCCATGAGGCCCCAAGGTACCTCTAAGAGGTCACAGAGAGGCCCCCAAGAGGCCTCCTTGAAGCCCAAGAGGCATGCCAGAAGACCCGAATGCCTCTAAGAGCTTGGCCTCAGGTCCACGACCAGGCTTCGGCAGACCACACACCCTCCTGTCATCGACTGGAAGTCGCACGGATTTCGTATCGGCATTGGGCTCACTGCCCACCCCCCTCCCAGGCGCAAGGGGTGTGGTGAGGCTGGTGCGAAGCCGACCCTTCGAATAGGAAATCTACTACAGAAGTGAATATTCGTCGAATGCATAGAGAATGTACGTTCGACGTATCTTGCGTAGATTCGGCAAAAAAACATTATGGGGTAAATCAATGATTTAGTCGACTTCGTATTCGAACCGTTTGGCGGGATGCAAATGGGGGGATAAGTCCAGGAGGGGGAGAGGCACAACCGAGGTACAAATTGTACCTACGCCCCACGGAGAAGGTACAATTTGTACCGACGCCACGCTGACAAGGTACAAATTGTACTTTTGACAACGTCCGCGACATGTGCGAGGATGTTAACGGAGGGGAGAAGGTACAATTTGTACATGCAACCCGCAAATAAGGTACAAATTGTACCCCCAAGAAACGGTACCGGCTACTCATCCCCCCATGTCCTGATCCCCCCATCGCCATCAGGCCGAACCGTGGAACTCCACCCCGACCTCCGAAGGCCCCTGCGTGTGAAGTTTCGGGGGCCCCTGTGATGATGGCCAGGGGACCGCGGAGATCGGCAAGGGCAGGCGGTCGTCGTCGAAGGCGACCAGCACCTCCAGCAGGCAAAACTCCAGGAACGCGTCGGCCTGCGGTGGCGGCAGCGCCAGCGGCACGCGGGGCATGAGCGCGGCCGCCAGCTGCCGGCAGGCGGCCAGGGCGCGAGTAGCGGCGCTGAGCGGCAACCACTCGCACAACCCGTGCACGGTGGGCTCGGGCAGCCCCAGCATGGTGGGTAGCTCCGCGGCCACCCACCTGTGGGGAGAAGGAGAATAAAAATGAGAGAAGAGGAAGATGAGGAAGAGGAGGAGGAGGAGGAGGAGGAGGAGGAGGAGGCCCACGTGGCAATTCTCGGGTCGGCACTGCCCCACCCCGCCCGTGGAGGCTCCAAGCGCTGCGGGAGGGCGGTGACGCGAGGGAGGTCCGGCGTCGACCCAACCATGCCGCAGTGGCTTCCGCACGTTTGCGCCTGTTCTGATCCGCCTTCGCCAACGACAGGTCCGTGTCGCGTCGACCCCGGCGTTGGTCCCTGACACCGCGGGAACCGTTCAACCTTGAGCGATCGGCCGTGTCGGAAACGTCCGACCCTTCCACATCAACTGATTCTGGGTCGTTGGTAGCGTTCAGCGTTGAAAGCCGGCGGCGGGATCGCCGCCGGTCGAAGCGACGCGAATATGTCGTACGCTTTGACCGAACGCACAGGGCGGTAGGGGGAGGGGGAAATTTCGCACATGAGCAAAACACAACACTTTTCCCCTCGAGATGCCCCTTTAAGGTCGTCCAAGGCCACCGAATCTGCATCAACATCAGATTCAAATATGTGGTCACGAACGTGCCCAGACTGGTTGGAGCCGACGTGGCTTGCGAATCACGTTGCTCATCCCAGAATGACCACCGTGAAGAATATACTCTTTCTGACGAAGCGAAGCGCACAATGTCACGCCGCGGAAATCCAGGAAATGGCTGCCATGGAATGCTGCGTGAACCGCAGCAGGTCATACCGATATACGGCCGGACCTAAGACAGAAGAACTCCCTTCAAACACATGAAAACATCCGCCGGCCAAGTTGACGATTCGGGCGCGCCCCCCCTACAGGATAGAAACAGCAGCAAGCACACACACACACACACGAAAAACATCATGGTACACTCCCGAAGCGACTTTGACCAGATATTTCGGTCCAGCTGTACAATATACCGCCGCTTCCTATACCGACAGGACCACCCCACGGGTGATAAGGAGGTTGGGGGCGGGGGAAAGGGGGAGCGGTCGATGTGCGATGGCTCCCACCTCCCGCCACCAAAGAATGCGCGGGCAAATCAATAACACCTACTTCCGCTTGCTTCTATCTAGTTACTATCCATGATTTTATCAGTCCATCAATAGTACCGATCTGTCTACCGAGCCAACACATCAATCAGTCGCCCTATAATCTACCAACCAACCAATCTGTCGACCGAGACGATCCATCAACCAATCTATGTATCGACCTACCTGTCGGAAACACCATCGGGGCAATCTTCCGTGCATGTCCCCCTACCTCCGATCTAGAGATCTACATACAGCTATATACATGTACCTGTACCTACCCGCATACCGATCGATATACGTATGTGTGCTCTACCTATCGACGCACCTATGTATATAGAATGTATGCTTTTCTTTGTAGATCTATCCATCGACTTCTCTATCGGGTCAACCGTCGGGACAAGCAGTGGGACAACCGTCGCGACAACCGCAGGGACAACCATCGGAACAACAATCGGGACAACCATCGGGACAACCATCGGGACAACAATCAGAACAACCATCGGGGCAACCAGCGCGACAACCATCGGAACAATGATCGGGACAAACATCGGGGCTACCGTCGGAAAAAAAACCATCGGGTCAATCATCGGGACAACCATCAGGGAAACCATGGGGACAACCATGGAGACGACCATCGGGGCAACCATCGGGACAAGCATCAACGCAACCCTCCATCGGGACAACCATCGGGACAACCATTGGGAAAACCATCGGGGCAACCATCGGGACAAATATCGGGACAACCATCGGGGCAACCGTCGGGGCAGCCATGGGGGCAACCATTGGGACAACTATTGGGACAACCATCTGGACAACCATCGGGACAACCATCGGGGCAAACATCGGGACAAGCATCGGGACAGCAAGCGCGACAACCATCGGGACAACCATCAGGACAAACATCAGGGCAACCATCGGGGCAATCATCGAAACCACCATCGGGGCAACCATCGAAAAGACAACCGCCGAGACAACCATCGGAACAACCATCGGAACTACCATCGGGACAACCATCGGGGCAACCATCGGGACAACCATCGGGACAACCATCGGGACAACCATCGCGATAACCATCGGGGCAACCATCGGGACAACCATAGGGACAACCATCGGGGCAACAGTCGGGGCAACCATGCGGGGCATGCATCAGGACAACTATTGGGACAACCATCGGGACAGCCATCGGGGCTACCCTCGGGGCAACCATCAGCACAACCGTCAGGGTAATCATCGGGACAACCATCGGGGCAACCATCGACGCAACCATCGGGGCAACCATCGGGACAGCGTTGAGAAGAAGCCATCGCGGCAAACATCGGAACAACCATCGGGATAACCATCAGCGCAACCATCGGGGCAACTATCGGGGCAACCATCGGGACAATCATCGGGACAGCCATTGCGACAATAATCCCACCAGCCCTCTGGGCGTCGGTGGTTTAACGAGTTTCCTCTTCCACCCCTCCCTCTTCCCCTTCGGGGAGGGGTTTACCCCTCCCCCTACCCCCTCCCCACTGACCTGGACAGGGGGTTCCGCGGCGCGTTGGAGCGCCCAAGATGGCCCAAGACGGCTCCAAGAGGGCCTCAGGAAGCCCAAGATCCCTCCAAGATGGCTCAAGATAGCGCAAGATGCCTCAAGATGGTCCCCATGATGTTCCAAGACGTTCCAAGAACTCTCCAAGACGGTTCCAAGTGCCCACAAGAGCATCATTAGGATGCATCCAAGAGGCCAACATGCTTCAAAACCCTAGGGAAAAATCAATGTTTTTGGTGTTCTCACTTTTTCGCTTGCGATGCACATCCGAGGCGTCAAGATGGCTCCAAGATGGCTCAAGATAGCTCCAAGAAGGGCCCAAGAAAGCCCCATGACGGCGCCAAGAGCGCCGAAGAGCGCTCCAAGAGCGGTCCCAGAGCGGTGCAGGAGACGATTTTTGGAGTTCCTGGGGGGGGGGGCTCTAATTAAGGAACCCTACTTCATTGGCCGATGTCCTCCAAAATTGCCCCAAGAGCGCCCCAGCAGGGCCTTCAAGGGCGCCCAGACGGGTCCAAAGGCCCCCAGGATGCCCCAAGAGGCCGCAGGATGGCCCCAAGATGGCCCCAAGAGGCCCCCCAAGAGGCCCCCAGGAGGCCCCCAAGAGACCCCCAAGAGGCCCCAAGAGACCCCCCAGAGGCACCCAAGGGGCAAAGATGGCCCCAAGAAGCGCCCAGGAGGCCCCCAAAGGCCCCAAGATGGCCCCAAGAGGCCCCAAGAGGCCCCCAGGAGGCCCCAAAGAGGATCCCGAACGGCCCACAGAGGCCCCCCCGAGGCACCCAAGACGCCGAAAAGCCCCTCAGGACGACCCTCTACTCGCCTGGGCGTCGTTTCTGGACGGGCTGGTGGGGATACGCGAAGCGTCTAGAATTGGGACGAACGCCGGGACAACCATCGGGACAACCATCGGGACAACAATCGGGGCAACCATCGGGATAACCATCGGGACAACCATCGAGATAACCATCGGGATAACCATCCGGACTACCATCCGGGCACGCATCTGGACAACCATCGGGACAACCATCAGGGCAACCGTCGGGACAAGCATCGGGGCAAACATCAGGACAACCATCGGGGCAACCATCGGGGACAACCATCGGGACAACCATCGGGACAACCATCGGGGCAACAATCGGGATAACCACCAGGACAACCATCGGGACAACCATCGGGACAACCATCGGGACAACCACGGGGGCAACTATCAGGACAACCATCGGGGCAACCGCCAGGGCAACCATCGGGGCTAACGCAATCGGGAACACCATCGGGACTACCATCGGGACAACCATCAAGACAAACCGCGGGACAACAATCGGGGGCCGCGCTTGGCTGGAGGGCGGCAGGGGGGGGCGGGCGACCATGTGGGCTCCACCTGACCCTCGCCGAAGACCATCCTTTGGAGCCACCGAGGCCCCCAACATAGCCAACGAATTCCGAAGGAGTTGCACGGCAATTTTTTACCTAACAGCTCTTGCTGATAGGTTTCTAATGGTCTCAAAAGAGAGCATCATGACTCCTCAGGGGGGTCTGGGCGGGACCCGGGGAGGCTGCCGTCGAAGCCGAAATCGCTTGGGACATCCTCGCAAAATCGCCCTTGGTGCTCCCAGAACTCAATTCCCGGGCCACATTTTGGATGCCCGGAGCCAACTGTAGGCCACTTCGTGCTCTTCGACTTCCCAGAACTCCATTCCCGGGCCACATTCTGGATGCCCGGAGCCAACTGTAGGCCACTTCGTGCTCTTCGATTTCCCAGAACTCCATTCCCGGGCCACATTTTGGATGCCCGGAGCCAACTGTAGGCCACTTCGTGCTCTTCAAGTTCCCAGAACTCCATTCCTGGGCATGATTTTGAATGCCCGGAGCCAACTGTAGGCCACTTCGTGTTCTTCTAGTTCCCAGAACTCCACTCCTGGGCCACATTTTGAATGCTGAGGCAGGCTGATGCTGCGGCCGAGGCAGGCTGAGGCTGAGGCAGGCTGAGGCTGAGGCCGAGGCTGAAGGCAGACTGAGGCTGAGGCTGAAGAGGCTGAGGCTGAGGCTGAGGCAGGCTGAGGCTGAGGCTGCAGCAGGCTGATGCTGAGGCAGGCTGAGGCTGAGGCTGAGGCTGATGCAGGCTGAGGCTGAGGCAGGCTGAGGCTGAGGCCGAGGCTGAAGGCAGACTGAGGCTGAGGCTGAAGCAGGCTGAGGCTGAGGCTGAGGCAGGCTGAGGCTGAGGCAGGCTGAGGCTGAGGCTGAGGCAGGCTGAGGCTGAGGCTGTGACTGCGACTGCCGTTGCCGCTGCGACTGTCATCGCGAATGCGACTACGACTGCGAGAACACCAGAATTCGACAACTGGATTTTCATCTGAATCTTAAGGGGAATGCTTTCAGATATGCTTCTACACATCGCTGTTAGGTTGCTTTGCCGGGATACTTATCTTTTGAAAGCGTGCAGCACTGGGCGCGAAGGCCACCCTGCAAGGCCCCCTGACGAGCATGCATCTGCGGCCGTCGCCATCGTCACCGCCAAAACCACAAGAAAACAAATGTTGCAATCATCGTCGGACTGAGGTCAGGTCAGCCTGCCCCGCCGCACGTCGACTCTTCGCCGCAGCCGAGTGCTGCGGGCTCCCAGCAGCATTCGTCGACAGCTGTCAAAAGTAACCGCCGAAACGGCCCTTGAAAGGGCAGCCCGGGGGGCCGCCGAAAGAGCCGCCGAAATCGTCGCCGAAATCGCCGGCGACATTGCCGCCGACATTGCCGCCGAAATTGCCGCCGAAATTGCCGCCGAACTTGCCGCCGAACTCGCCGCCGATATTGCCGCCGAAATTGCCGCCGCACTACTAGCGAACTCCGCCGAACTTGCCGCCGCCGCTGAAATCAACGCCGGAATGCAGCCGCCGAAATTGCTATTGCCCTGTCGCAAGCGAAATTATTGTTTTATCAAGAACGATGACGCCGCGGACACAGGCATTGATAGAGTCACAGCCAAAGTCAAGTTCGGCCTCTTTTCGGCGGCGCAATCTGGAATTTCGGCGAAAATTCCCGCGGCAATTTGGGCCGAGATTTTGGTGGCAATTTCGGCGGCGATTTCGGCGGCCATGTCGGCGGCAATGTCGACGGCTCTTTCGGCGGCCCTTCCGGCGGCAATCTCGGCGGCCCTTTCGGCGGCAATTTCGGCGGCCCTTTCGGCGGCGTTGCTTCTGCCAACTGGCGACTGTGGCTGCCGGGAGCTCTCGGCACTCGGCGGCCCCAGCGGGCCCTGAGGGGGCCCTCGAAGTGCCTCGCCAGAAGGCGTCTGCGAAGAAACTCAATCCATGCGTCCGCCCCTGGGGGGCTGCGACTTGCGGAACCGTCGCCACTTTCAAGGGCTGCTGGTGGGTCCAGCGGAATGAGGCGCCGCGCGGATCTGAGCGGGACCTCGCCGGCTCTGGGGGGCCGCGATCTGCGAGGCCGTCGCTACTTTCGAAGGCCAATGGCGGGTCCAGCGGAGTGAGGCACCGCGCAGATCTGAGCGGGACCCTGCAATCCCAAGGGGGCTGCGAGCCCCGCGAATGCCGGTCGCAGAAGTACATGCGCCCATGCCACGTCGCCCCGCATAACGTCTCCAAGCTGCTCATGTCCCGCATTGCGCAGGGGCCGGGCGCGTCGAGATCTATCTCTATATATACACATAAATATATATATATATATATATATATATATATATATACATATGTACATCTATACATATATACATATACATGTATACACATACATCTATGTATACATATATGTATGTGTGCAGGCGGGGGTTAGAGCGGTAGCTCATCGGGAATAAAGGGGAGCCACAACAAACATTGATCACTCACTCTGGGCTTTGCCCCTTCTTACTCCCTCTATTCGTTGGCCAAAGCTGTTGACAGGGCTTCGAGTGCCTCGAGACAACGGCGCCAGCATGTGCAAGCCTCAAGACTCACCCCGAGGCCACGGCAGGAATTCACACCTCGAGTGCACCACCGTCGTCCAACGACCGGGGTCAGAACGCCGTCCCAAGTGGGCCTCGAGGGGGAGCAGACTCGCACCACGCTGTGCCCAGAAGCCCGAGAGAAGCTCTCGCGAGACGCTAAACGAGCAAGATCGGCCAGGCAGAAAAGAAGCCTGGACGGCATGGCACAGGGCGGAGTGCGGGCGGGCCACACAGGCTGCCATGCATTCTGATGCGGCCAACGTTCGCTCATTACCCCTTTGCCCACACATTGACCGTAAACATGTTCATGCGCGCGCAGGCGGGGGTTAGAGCGGTAGCTCATCGGGAATAAAGGGGAGCCACAACAAACATTGATCACTCACTCTGGGCTTTGCCAGTTCTTACTCCCTCTATTCGTTGGCCAAAGCTGTTGACAGAGCTTCGAGTGCCTCGAGACAACGGCGCCAGCATGTGCAAGCCTCAAGACTCACCCCGAGGCCACGGCAGGAATTCACACCTCGAGTGTACCACCGTCGTCCAACGACCGGGGTCAGAACGCCGTCCCAAGTGGGACTCGAGGGGGAGCAGACTCGCACCACGCTGCGCCCAGAAGCCCGAGAGAAGCCCTCCACTCCAAGAACACCCAAAAGCTCTCCAATGTGATCCGAAATATGGCTGAAAGCCGCCCACAACATCCCTTGAGAGTCGCACCTGGCCTAGATTTGATGTTACTTGCTACAGTACGCCCGAGCGCGGGCAATCAAGGTATCTGAGAAGGTCTGGAGCGAGAAACGGGTGGCAGGCTGAAACCGCATCTCGGCCAAAATCGCGGCACCATCTTGAATATAAATCTTTTCTGTCCTCATTGAGCTCCAACGACCTCGAAGCATTACTTTAGGCAAGTCGCCTGACAACAAATATTCGTGCGCAGCACCGCCCCTACGTAAACTATACGGGACGAGGCCAAGATGCGCGCAACCAATCTCTCGCAGGCCAGTGCGAAAAAGCAAATGAAAAGCACGAGGAGACGAGGGCCACAAACGTCCGTCACGCTGCAGCTGCATATGGACGACCGCTCCCACGAGCGGGTCGTCCAGCGTCGCCGTCTCTCGCGCTCCCTTCTGACAGGCTGTCATTGTCCAGGGCAACGACACTACGCCTCTGCCGCAAGGCTTGAGCTGAATGGCGCTGCTGGAGAGGCCGAGAGCCTCGCCTGTCCGAAGGCAGAGGTGGAAGCCTGCGAGGATCGTCGCGGCGAAGGCGATCTCACCGCGGCCAAGCGCCCAGCCCGCGAGCGCACTGCACACCAGCGGCGGCATCGGTGGCGCACACTGCGGCACCTCTAGGCGCCCCCAGACCGACAGCAATCTCCACGCGCCTGGGCACTGCCGGCGCGTCCTCAACAGGTGCTGCACCCCACTCAGTGCATCGTTAGCTTGACCTTTAGTGGCACCTTCGGCCCACAACTATTCAAGGTAGTCTTGTAATGTGACATCCATGTCTTCCCAACTGAACGGCAACGGCAGATTCATGGCGTTAAGATAGTCAACAAACTGCTGGGCTGCTCGACGGTGTCTGGCGAGAGTGGCAGCGCCGATCCGGGCATCCCGCAGCTTCCCCAGGCCAGCTCTGTCTGTGCGCCTGTCGGCGGGGCTAGACTTCCCCATCCTTCAGGCGCGACGGCGCGTCCGCGGGGTTCCAAGCTGATGAGGCGAAGCCGAACACCGCCCGCGCGCCCGTCGCCAGCTCCCAGGCCGAGAAGCTGCGCACAACCTCGTTGAGCTGACTGCTGCTGGAGCGGCGCTTCGAGAGCGCGCCGATGTTGACCACGCTGTCGAGGAGGTGCAAGAAGACTCGCTGCTGTCGGCCCAAAGACCGAGCACGCCATCGAATCATCATCAGCGCTCCCTGGCACTCCAGCACATTGATATGTTCAGGACGATCCCACACCAGCTGTCGTGCCTCACGCCACTGCCAAAGACCTGCATCAATCTCTTGCCGAGGGAAAACTTTGCCGAGCTCCTCAGAGCTCCCGTCAAGACGAAGGTCCGCACCACTACTGCGGCACGCCATCACAAGGCTCATCACCAGCCTACGCGAGACATCCGAATCACGCCAGGACGTAGCATCGCGTTTGGCCAGTTCTGCAAGCAGCACATCTGCATGACATGCCTCGGACTGACTGCAGTGACAGACCAGCTTGGCGCCGCGCAAGTCCTCCAGGCGGCGAAGCAGCTCGGGCTGGCCACGCAGCCATCCAGCAAACAGCGCCACCGCGTCCTCGCGGGAGCAGCTCGGGCCCACTGCGAACGGGTTGCCGAAACACGACGGGGCGAGGCTCCAGCGCCGTGAGCCGCGCCCGACGTAGACGAGCCTGCCGGCCGCCGCCGGCGCCGCCGCGGCGGGCCGCTCGCCCGCCCGCTGGCGCTCGCCCGATGCGGCTGCGCTGCGGGCCACCAGCTCGCCGCAGACCTCCGCGTCGACCTTCGCGCGGCTGCGTCGCAGCACCTCCCACAGCTTGCGCCTGCCAGCCCAGGCCCGAGCGCTCTCGCGCAGCTCGGAGAAGGGCGGCACCGCCACCAGCAGCCCAGCAGCGACAGCCCAGTGCGCCAGCAGCCACGCCACCACTGGAACGAGTTGCCGACCAGCGAACGCCTCGAACCCTCGTACTTGCCGGGCTCGGCCTTCGCCTCACTGCTGGTCATGCAGGGCACGATGTGGCCTTCGGCGAAGCCCATCAGCTTCTCCCTCATCACCGAATCAGGAGGCGCGATCCGTCCGTCAGGCCAGTGAATGCACCACTTGTCACGGAACTGGTAGGGCGGCGCCGCAAAGGCCGCCTCCTCCCAGCGCGTCAGCTCAGCAGCCGTGCACTCCCCGTTGCCCGCGGGCCTGGGGCGCGGCTGCGAGCGCGGTGTCCAGCGAACGAACGTTGGGAGGGGCTCGCCACCCTCCGCTCCAGGGCAGCGCGCGCCAGCCGGCAGCCACTCCTCCAGCGGCGGGCGCTCCACCTCCAGCGACACGCGGCACAGGCGGCGAGAGGCGCCGTCCTTGGTCAGCACCATCACGGTCTTGGCCTCGTACGACGGCAGCAAGTCCCAGGACGGCCAGTAGAGACGAGGACGCCTCACCCAGCCGACGTCACCAGCCTCAACCTCCAAGGGGATCCGCTCGAACAACCCGCTGAGGTGAAGGACGTCGGACTCTGCCATTGATGCTACACTCTCGCCAAGGAAGTCAACGCTCACCTCGGGCATGGCTGCGCGCAGGCCTCGGATGACCCTCACCATGTGATCGACCAGCGAGGCGCGCGAGTCCGACGAGCCCTTGCGGTCGACGTTCAAGCTCGTGTAGATCTGGCACGGGAAGCCGCCGATGACCACCGCGCGGGCGATGCGGCCGCGGGCCCGCAGCAGGCCAGCCAGGGCAGCGGGGACAGCAGATGTAACATCTCCGAGTTGCTGCGTGCCAGGATAAGCGCGCCGCGCGACGCGAACCGCCTGCGGGCCCACCTCGAACGACAGGTGCACCGCTGGTACCAGGCCCAGTATCTCGAAGGCTCTGCGCCCGCCGCCGATGCCATCAAAGACGGTGATCAGGGCGGTCTCCTCCTCGCAGGCGGCGTTAGCGGGCCGCTGGCGCCTGCCCGCAACGACGCGCCCGCGCTCGGTAAGCGCCGTGCTGTACACCACGGCTCCAGCGGCCTCCGACGCGTCCTAGGCCGTCACCAGGTGGTCGACCTCGAGCCTCATGTCAGCCACGCAGAGCCCCGACAGGGCCAGGCACATCAGCAAGTCCTCGATCACTCTCACGCTGAAGCGGCCTCCACAGCGCGGGTCGTTGAGCCACTTCCAAGTGTAAGCGAAGCTCGCAGCCAGCGGGCGGCGGAAGCAGCGCACGCGAACCCAGCGCCCAAGAATAATACGTATCAATCGCATGCTGGCTCGCCTTTTGCCCAGAACCCAGAGCGCGAGGCTGGCCATCTCAATAATATATCCTGCAGGTGGCCGACGGACACCTTCAACACCATCAACAAGCTCGCCCAGAGTGGTTGCGCGCACCACGCGGTGCAGGTCCTTGCCCGGGGAGCCAGGCGACCCTGCGGCCTCGTAGCAGGCCCGAGCGTCAGTCAGCAGCTCGGGGACCGTCCCGCGTAACTTGTCGGCCTCAGATTTGTCGACGATCTCGGCGATCTCTAAGTTGTCGATGTACACCATCCAAGCAGGCGGGCAGGGCTTCTCTGCACCAAGCGGCAGGCGGCGGCGCCGGGTAATCTCGCAGCTGGGGCTCAGGCCGCGAGGCACCGCGCCGCTGCGACGCAGCATGTTGCGATGAAGATGAGTCGTGACCCCCGCCGCGCTGATCCAGCCCATGCCGATCACGCGCAGGCAGATGTGGGTAGCGCCGCCGTCCTTGAGACCCAGTAGGCGCGACGGCACTGGCGGCCCGATCACCATGTACGGCCACCACGGCGGCGGCGCGCGGAAGACGTAGAAGAAGGCCTTCCTGTCGGCGCCGCTCCACAACAAGTCCTCGGACTCCGTCAAGACCAGGCCGTTCAGCTGGCTCATCGTCGGCATCTCGGGCGCGTCGCCAACGATGCACTCTTGGCAGGCGTTCGACGGGATCAGATTGGTGATGAGCCTGAGCACGGGCCTCAGCACCCCGCCCCGGCACTTGACAGGGGCGTCGTGGGCCTTCGGAACCCCAAATGCTCCGTTCAGCAGCGGCGACTCATCCCGGCGCGCGATGTCAGGCGCGGAGATCGGGCCGACCATCCCGCGCTCATGCAGGGCCTCAACGACGCGATGCCACTCGCCTTCCGAGGCCCAAACCCGCGCCGAAGTCGGCGCCGCACGCCGCAGCGCAGGCGGCAGCAGCACCAGCCCAGGATCCAGCAACGCGTCGCGCACGAAGCCCGTCGCGACATCGGCAGCCTCAATCGAGGCCGCAAAACCAGGCGGCGGCAAGCCGTCCAGCACCTGCTCCAAGGTCAGCTTGTGAGGCGCGGTGATCTCGGCGCCGCCGTAGCCGATCTTGCGGTCCTTCAGGCGGTCCTCCCAGTTGAGCTCCGCAGGCAGGCTGGTCTCGATGCGCGTCGCCAGGTACAGGCGGCGGCCCAGGGCCGCCAAGGCTGCCCGCTGAGCAGCGTTCGGGCGCCTGCGGCAATGGCGCGCGAACTTCAGCGAGCGGAAGCCTGCCTCCCAGTTGAGCGCCAGCACCGTGACAACCAGCCTGCAGTGGAGCGCCCCCCAATTCAAGTCGCTAAGGTCATCGCCGTCGCGCGCGACGTCGGTCTTCACGATGGTGGGGTACGTTAACGGCAGCAACTCACGTTGCAGCCGACCTCCCATGGTGGCCATATGCTCGCGCAGCTGAGGTTTGAGGGAGTCGCGGACGTAGCGACCGAACGAACCAGGGAACTCCTTGACGAGGTTGAGAAGGATCGGGCCCACGTCATAAGGCTCACGGAACAAGTCACCAGCAGCACCAGCGAGCTCTCTCCAGTCTTCCAGTGGATCGCGTCGAGAAGGGTTCTCATCAGCAGTGGCAGGCGGCAACTCCAGCGGGGTCGCAGCGCAGTGGTCAGGTAGCGAACGAGACGGCGAGGCTCCAGGCGGTCCGCACGGCGCAGCAGCCTGCAAAGAAGCGGCTGCTGCAGCCCAGGCGCCATCAGCAAGGGCATCGTCACCATGCGCTTTCACCGCGCCGCCGCCGGGGGGCCAGTCCCGCGGCCGCCAGGCGGGCGAGGCCGCGAGCCGTTGGCTCCCCCTGCGTTGCGCCCCCTGCCGCCGCGGCGTCTCGGGCGACCGCGTCCTGCCCCCTGGGGCGCCGCCGCCGCGGCTGCTGGCTCGTCCTGCCTGAAGGTGTGGCGCTCGGGGCTCCCCGCCAGCACAACTCGGCGCGGGTGAGGGCTGTCTCCTTGGGGGGTCCGCTCCGCCTGAGGGGGCGGAGTCCGCGCGCGGGGGCCTGAGGGCGCTGCGGCGGGCGCCCCCTCGGCCCGAGGCGCTGCCGCTGGCGACCCTGGAGCGCGAGCGGGGCTGCTCCCTCGGAGCGGGAAATAGCGGAACCGCCCGCGACCACGACCCTTGCCCTTGCCGCGCGAGAGCTCCCGCGCTGGCTGATGCGCGGCTCGAGAGGGGGAGCGCGGCCGCTGGTCCCCGCGCGGCCGCGGCCGAGAGGGGGAGCGCGGCCGCTGGCGAGCGCGGCCCTCCCGCGCCCCCCCCTCGGGTCACCCGCGCCCCTGGCCGCGGCCGAGCCCCCCGAAGGCTCCGCGGCTCCTGGCCTCCTCCAAGCGCCTCCGCAGCAGCGCCGAGCGCCGCGCCAGATCCTGCTCGCCCATGGGCGCCAGCGACGGCCTCACGTCTAGGACGATCTCGAGCTCGCTCGCAACCTGCCAGCCCGCGTCCGACAGCGAGAGCTCCAGCGCCTTGAACCTCTGCATCAGCACGTCGCTCAACTGCGGCAGAGAGCCGCTCTCCAGCTGGTCCAGCGCCGTCGCCAAGGTCTGGAGCTCGCGCACCGTGTTGACCCGCAGCTGGGACACGGGGTGGTGACCGAACACGATGGCCTGCAAGTAGCCGACCACCTTCGGCCTCGTCTCGGAACCGCCCGCCCCCTCCCGCAGGCCCATGACGCGGGCGATGTTCTGCATCGCCTCGTCGTAAAGGGCGCCAGGCTGTCTCTCCGCCAGCAGCCGCACGCTGCCGCCGCGAGAGGGGGCGTCGCGAAAACGCGGCTCGCCTTCGCCATCGTTGCGGCTGCCAGACTCACTGCGAGCCCGACGCCTGCCGCGGCCTGCCACGCCGCGGCCGCCACCGCCTTCGACCGCAAGCGCGCGGGCAGCTGCTGCCGCCGCCGCCAGGGAAGGGAGCGGGACCGCCTCGACCAGCTCCACCACCACGGCCGCCGAAGGCGCTCGGGCGCACCCAGGGCTCCACCAGCCCGCGCGTCGAGCGCAGCCGCAGCCACGCCACGTGCAGGACGGCGCGGCCCGCCTGCGCAGGCTCGCCACACCGCGCAGGCCCCTGCGCGCAGAGGTGCAGCAGTCCAGCAGGACCGCCGCCGCGCGGAGGGAAGGCGCCGTCAAAGCGCATCGCCTTGGCGGGCAACGACGCGCCCCTGAACTGCGCGGTGAGATACTGACCTCCAGCACCTGGCACGCCGACCTCGTCGATCTCGAACAGCGCGGTCCCACTGATCGCCCCCGCCGCGTCGTGGGTCGGCAGCTCCACGGCCAGGCCCTGGCTCCAGTTGGCCCCGATGAGGGCGGCTGCCTGCGCCCAGGCTCCGTCGACGAGCCCGCCAAGCTGCGCCCCTGCAGCCGGGGCGACCGCGCCTCCAAACACGCCGTGGGCAGCGCCCGGCCCCGCGGGCCCCGCGCCAGGCGGCGCGCCCGCGCCTCCAGCTCCGCCAGCGCCTGCAGCGGCCAGCGCGCCAACCAGCGCCGCTCCGACGCCGCCGCCGCCGCCGCCTCCAGCGCCGTCGCCAGGCGCCCCGAGGACAGGGGGAGGGGCGCGCCCGCGGCGCCCACGCCAATGGCTCCGGGCAAGCCAGGGAAGCCGCCGAGCCCTGGCACCACTGGCGCCCCAGCAGCGCCGCCCCCAGCGCCTCCGCCAGCTGCACCTCCAGCTGCGGGCGCGAGGCCGCCTCCGAGGCCGACGGGCGCCCCTGCCGCTCCAGCAGCCGCGCCAACGCGCCCGCGAGCGCCCCGTCCTCCGCCACGTCCAGCGCCTCGCCCGCGGGCGGCAGCGAGAGGCGCAGGAAGAGCCTTCGCCTTCGCCTTGCCTTTGGCCTTGGCCTTGGCCTTGCCCTTGGCCTTAGGCGGCATCAGGCGACAAGGTCGACAGCGCCGTAATCTGCGCCGCCAGCAGCCGCGCCTGCTCGACGAGCAGCGCCCGCTCCTGCGGCGCCAGCCGCGCCTCGCGCGCCCCCTGGCGCGCCAGCGCGAGGAGGTAGCACAACTCGCACACCTCCAAGAGCGCGCCGCCCTCCGCGAGGGCCAAACTCTCGCCCTCGGCGAGGCGCCCAGCGCACCAGCCGCAGATCCGAGGCCGCTGGGCCCGCGGGGCGGCGGAGCGCGCGGTGGCGCAAGCAGGGGGCACCCCAGGCCTTCCAAGGCCCTGATCCACAAAGGCTGCCATGCATTCTGATGCGGCCAACGTTCGCTCATTACCCCTTTGCCCACACATTGACCGTAAACGTGTTCGTACATGTATGTCTATGCGAATATATATATATATATATATATATATATATACACCCACACACATACATATAGAGCAACTATGCTCTGGGCGTTTCAACGAGCGGCCAATCTCACGCTGGAGCCCCCAACGCGCAAGATCGCCCCTCTAGTTGGCCCGTGATCGGGCCGACGTGCCCGAGTGGAGTGATTGTCAGGTCGCACCAAAATTTTGGCACCTGGATGTCCCTCGGCCCCGCGGCCTCGCCCTCGCCCTGGGGCGCCCCGGCGGCAAAGTGGATCCTCGGGGGCAATCTGAATGCGAAAGCTGGCGCCCCGTCTGCTGCGGCCGCGGCGACGCGTGATAATCGCGCCCTGCCGCGCACGGGGCGCGCCGCCCAGTTCCGCCGGGCCCCGAAGACAGTGCCGCCGCGGGAACATGCTATATTCGCTGCGCTTTCCAATATGCTCCACTGCACCCTGCCCCGTCGGGCCTGTTGCCGCGTCGAGATCTGGGGCAGCCCTCGGCTCTCGGTCTTGCGCTTTCCCGATCGAGCGTCCTCGAGCGCGTTCAATGCGCGGCGGGAATGCCGCGACGCGAACTCGATTGCTGGATTGCAAGACGCTGCCGCCCGCCGAAACGGGCCCTCGACGCGGCGCATGGATTCGGGCCCGCATTTTCGCTCGCAATGATCGGCGCCCAGGCGCCGCGGGCCGCGCGCGAGGCACGGGGGGGCTGTGCCGAGGTCCAGCGAGCTGCGTGCAGCATTGTAGATTCTTCTCTCTCCCCGCCCGACCTTGCCTCGTCTCTTATCGCCCGCCTCCGCCGCCTCTATCCCAACGTCTCCCCAGTGCACATCGGGCGTCTCGATTGGCGCGCGGTTCAGGCGGCCGCGTCACAGCGCCCCCCCTCTCGGCGCCAGGCCATCGCTGAGACGCTCGCAGGCGCCTGGGCCACCGAGAGTTCCAGCAGGAGGTGCAGTGCACGTTCGGACGTCCAGATTGTTCGATTTCCGAGTTCATTATTTAGATGCCAGAGGTTTCGGGGGGCGGTCCCAGAGTTTCAGTGCCGCCCGATTACTGGCGACCCCCTTGGACGCCTCGGCATCATCGACCCCCCCCCCGCCCATTCCTTTCTAACATCGCTGTTTTTTATTACTATGTATTTGCCCTGGCTTGGCCGCGCCGTCGTCCCATCTCGTCCGCGGAGGCTCGGGCCCTGCTTCGCCGAATCCGTTTTTCCCGTGCGGCGCGCCGCCCGCTCGCGCGCGTCGCCGCCGACGGGCGGCCGCCCAGCTGCTTCGTCAAAGCCGGCCCCCGCTCGCAGCAGCAGGGGCGGCGGCAGTTGCAGCGGCAGCGGCAGTAGTTGCAGCGGCAGCAGTAGTGGATGAACGAACTGGACTGCCTGGCACGAGCGCAGGGCGAAAGGCGTGGAGCCTGGGGGGCGCGGAGAACGCGCGAGAAAATTCGCGCGCGTCGTTTCGAGCCCCGAGAGCGAGGCGCGCGGAGGGGGGGCGGGCGAGCAGACGGGGCGCATGGCGCAGACGGAAGCTGGCGGAGGAGGAGCAGAGGGCAGCGGGGGGGACTTCAGAAAGGGGGGGGGGCGGACGGAGCGAGCTCAGAGTCACGTTTTGTTGAGAGAGTGTTCCGTTGAATTCGGGATGTAAATCCTGCCGGGCTTCGAGCGAATTCTTGCAAGACTCTGAGCGAATGCTGTTTTGCGTTCCTGCGCGAGCAGGCGCGCGCAAGACCCTGGAACGCCAGTCGCTCGGTTTCCCCAGATTTTCATGTGGGATTTCGCTTCTCAGCTCGCGCATTCGCCCAGGCATTCCCCAGGAGTTCGCCCGGGCACTCGCCAGCGAGTTTCGACGCCCTTCGCGGCGACGCGTCTCTCTGTGGCCCGTGGCGGGGGCCCCTGAGCTGGAGGGGCGCGCGCGTCGACGGCCATCGAGCCAGGTGGTGGGGCATCAGGCTGGGCCCGGGGCTCGCTGGTCCAAGCTTGCGCCGATTGCCGATTGCGCGGAGCAGCCGCCGGCCTCGCAGTCTCCGCGCTAGCCGAAGGGGGGGGGCCGCAATCCCAAGAGAGAAACGCAGTTCAGGGATTGGCACGGGGAGAAGAATGAGGATTGCGCTGGAGTCGGCCCCCGCTGCAATTGAGCAGTTCAATGCAGCCCTTTGCGCCGGCGGACGCGAACGTCCATTTCGGCAAACGAAAAGAAACAACACCACAATTCAGCGCACAGCGTTGCCGAGTGATTGTTCGCCTTCCCGCCTGAGCGGCGCAAGCTTCCCCGGGGGTTTCTTGGGGTCTTGCCGAAGAGCTCCGAGAGGCCCGGCCTATTCGGGGCCCTCCTGAGCCGTGTGATATATGTGGGGCATGGGCCCAGGCGATGTTGCGCGGCCAGGGGGGGCCTCGAGGAGGCCCGAGAGGGCCCCGAGGAGGCTCCAGGAAGGGCCGAGATGGCCCCCGCCAGCTTCCACAGGTTTCCGAACATGTTCTTTTCGGGGTCCTCCGATGCCGCGCGACATCGCCAGGGCCCAGGCTCCAGCGATATCTTGCCAGAAGGCATTGACGTGACGGAAAGGGCCCAGAGAGTTCCACGGAGGGGCCCAAGATGACTTCCGACAACTGCCACATAGCTCCGAAAGCCCCTTTTCAGCCCTCCGAGACCGCGCGATAACGTCGGGACCAAGGCCCAACGGTACCACGCCAAAAGGCTATGGCATGAAATACCAAGTTTCTGGGACACGGCGATATCATGATCCGCTGGGGGGGGGCTCCGAACGGGGCCCTGTCCGGCCCCCCCGCGGGGCCCCCGCTGCAAGGGATGCCCAGACATGCCCCCGCTCTACGGGGGGGGCCACTTCGATGATGCGGCATGCAGTCTCATGCCGCGCCGCGCTGCGGTGCCAGGATCGGAGGTTGGGGGGCGCGAGCGGAATTGGCCCCAACCGGGAAATCGGTTTCGGCTTCGGTTCGCGTCGCGCGCGCGGGCGAGGCGAAGCTGCGCGAGTTCCTGCAGATGGAGGGCCGTAGCGGCACTTTCTTTGGAAACGAAAAGGGGCGCGCGCCTCAAATTTATTCCAAGAGGAATTGTATTTGTTTTAGGGTTTCAGTGCGCAGGCGCGCGCTGCCGCGCGGTGGTTCCAAGGCGCACCCTAGAGCGTGCTGGCGCACAATACGAGGCATTCATTTTGCACGTTGCGCATGCTATCGCGTGCGAGGTCTCTCTCTGATCGGCGCGGTGCCTCACTCCGCTGGATCCACTGGCAGCCCTCGAGTGGCGACAATTTCGCAGATCGCCATGCTGCCCCCCCAAGCATCCCCTCGAAAGCGGCGACAGTTTAGCAAATCGCAGCCCCCCAGGGACGATGAGGTCTAATTTGGATCTCCGGCGGCTACGCAGCACTCTAGCTGGCCCTCCAAGCAGCCCTCGAAAGTGGCGACATTTTCGCACATCGCAGCCCCCCAGGGGAGGCGAGGTCTAAGTTTGGTCTGCAGCGGCTACCACCCACTATGCCGCCTCCCAAGCAGCCCTCGAAAGTGGCTACAGTTTCGCAAATCGCAGCCCCCCAGGAACGGCGAGGTCGAATTTGGATCTGCGGCGGCTACCCACTATGCTGCATTCCGAAGCAGCCCTCGAAAGCGGCGGCAGTTTCGCAAGTCGAAGCCCCCCAGAGATGGCGAGGTCAAGTTCGAACCTGCGGCGGCCATCCACTATGCCGCCCCCCCAAACAGCACTCGAAAGCGGCAACAATTTCGCGCATCGCAGCCCCCCAGGGACGATGAGGTCTAATTTGGATCTCCGGCGGCTACGCACTCTAGCTGGCCCCCCAAGCGGCCCTCGAAAGCGGCGGCAGCTACTCAAGTCGCAACCCCCCATGGATGACGAGGTCTAATGTGGGTCTGCGGCCGCTGTCCACTATGCTGTCTCCCCAAAATAATCGCAATCCCCCAGGGGCGACGAAGTCTAATTTGGGCCTGCGGCTGCCACCCGCCACGCTGCACCCCCCCCCACACACACACCCACCCCCACCCCCCACCCACCCACCCACCCCACCCCACCCCCCACCCCACCCTCCACCACCGCCACCCCAGCAGCCCTCGAAAGTGGCGACATTCTCGCAGATCGCAGCCCCCCAGACATGGAGGTCAAATTCTGATTTGCGGCGGCTACCCACTATGCTGCCCCCCCCCCCGCCCTCCCCCCCCCGCCCACGCGCCCCCCCAGCAGCCCTCGAAAGTGGCGACAGTTTCGCAAATCGCAGCTCCCCAGGGGCGGCGAGGTCGAATTTGGATCTGCGGCGGCTATCCACTGTGCTGTCCTCACCAGCAGCACCCGAAATTGGCGACGGCTTCGCACATCGCAGCCCCCCAGGAATGGCGGGGTCGAATTTTGGTTTGCAGCGGCCACCCGCGATGCTGCCCCCCCCCCACCACCACCCACCCACCCACGCCACCGCCACCACCACCGCCACCACCGCCACCGCCACCACCACCACCACCACCACCACCACCACCACCACCACCACCCCTCGAAAGCGGCGACGGTTTGAAATCGCAGCCCCTCCAAGGACGGCGAAGTCTAAATTTGGCACGCGGCGGTTACCACCCTCCATGCCGCCCCCAAAGCTGCCCTCGAAAGCGGCAACAGTTTGCAAATCGCAGCCCCCCAGGGATGGCGAGGACGAGTTTGGAACTGCGGCGGCTACCCGCTATGCCGCCCTCCCAAGTAGCCCTCGAAAGCTGCGAAAATCGCAGCCCTCCAGGTCTGCGGCGGCCACCCACGAAAGCGGCGTTTCACAAATCGCAGCCCCCCAAGGATGGCGATGTCAAATTTGGGTTTGCGGCGGCAACCCACTATGCTGGTCTCGAAAGCTGCGAGAGTTTCGCAATTCGCAGCCCCCCCCGCAAGGATGGCTAAATCAAGTTTGGAACTGCGGCGGCTACCCGCTATGTTGCCCCACCCCCCCAGCAGCCCTCGAAAGTGGCGAGCGTTTCGCAAATCGCAACCCCCCAGGGATGGCGAAGTCAAATGTTGGTCTGCGGCGGCCACCCACTATGCTTCCCCCCCGCAGCCCTCGAAAGCGGCGACAGTTTCGCAAATCGCAGCTCCCCAGGGGCGGCGAGGTCTACTTTGGTCCTGCGGCGGCTACCCACTTAGCTGCCCTCCCCAGCAGCCCTCGAAAGTGGCGACGGTTTCGCAAATCGCAGCCCCCCAGGGATGGCGAGGTCGAAGTTGGGCTTGCAGCGGCCACTCGCTATGCTCCCCCCCCCCCGCCCGCAGCCTTCGAAAGCGGCGGCAGTTTGCAAATCGAAGCCCCCCCCAGGGGTGGCGAGGTCTAATTTGGGTCTGCGGCGGCGGCCCACTATGCTGTACTCCCAAGCAGCCCCTCGAAAGCGGCGACCGTTTCGCAAATCGCAGCCCCCCAGGGAAGGCGAGGTCTAAGTTTGGTCTGCGGCGCCTACTCACTATGCTGCCCTCGAAAGTGGCGACATTTTCGCACATCGCAGTCCCCCCCCCCAGGGATGGCTAGGTCAAGTTTGGATCTGCGGCGGCTACCTACTATGCTGTCCCCCCCCAGCAGCCCTCGAAAGTAGCGACAGTTTCGCAAATCGCAGTCCCCCGGGGACGACGAGGTCTAATTTGGGTCTGCGGCGGCTACCCACTATGCTGGTCCTCCTCAGCAGACCTCGAAAGCGGCGACAGCTTCGCAAATCGCAGCCCCCCAGGGATGACAAGGTCAAATTTGGACTTGCGGCGGCTGCTCACTGCAGCTGGCCCCCCCAGCAGCCCTCGAAAGCGGCGACAATTTCGCAAATCGCAGCGCCCCCCCAGGGATGGCGAGGTGTACATTGAATCTGCGGCGGCTACCCACTATAGCTAGCCCCCCAAGCAGCCCTCGGAAGCGGCGACAGTTTCGCAAATCGCAGCCCCCCTAAGGGATGGCGAGCCACTATGCTGCCCCCCTAAGTCGACCTCGAAAGTGGCAACCCCCAGGGATGGCGAGGTCGAATTTGGATCTGCGGCGGCTACCCACAATGCTGGACCCCCAAGCAACCCTCGAAAGTGGCGGCAGTTTCGCAAATCGCAGCCCCCCAAGGATGGCGAGGTCTGCTTTAGATTTGCGGCGGCTGCCCACCATGTTGGCCCCCCCAAGCAGCCCTCGAAAATGGCGACAATTTCGCAAATCGCGGCCCCCCGTGGATGGCGAGGTCTAGTTTGGATCTGCAGCGGCTGCCCACTACGCTGCCCCCCCCCAAGCAGCCCTCGAAAGTGGCGACCGTTTCGCAGAGCATAGCCCCCCCGCCAGGGATGGCCAGGTCTAAAGTAGGTCTGCGGCGGCTACCCACCATACTGTCCCCCCAGCAGCCCTCCAAAGTGGCGACAGCTTCGCAGATCGCAGCCCCCCAGGGATGGCGAGGTCGAATTTGGGTTTGCAGCGGCCACCCGCCATCCTGCCACCCCCAGCAGTCCTCAAGAGTGGCAGAAGCTTCCCATATCGCAGCCCCCCCAGGGATGGCGATATCTAATTTGTGCTCACGAAGCTTTCCCCCTGATCCTACCGCCCTCTGCACATGGCCGAGTAATTACTGCCCCCCTCCCCGTCGCCGTCGTCGTCGCCGCCGCCGCCGCCGCCGCCGCCGCCGCCGTCGTCGTCCTCCTCCTCCTCCTCATCCTCCTCCTCCTTTCTCCCTCCCTCACTCCCTCCCCTCCCTCCCCTCCCTCCCCCCGCCCCCTCTGCACGTGGCCGGATCGCAGCCGAACGCCCCCCCTGGGGGCCGCCCTGCCCGGGCAGCCGCGGCCACCACCGGCGGCGCTGCCGCCGCCACCGCCGGCGAGCCTGGGGCGCGAGAGGCCCAGGCCTCGACGAGAGCCCAGGCAAGGCCAGTCGGCATCCCCAGAGACCCAACGCATTGAGAAAATCAAGACGGGGGTTTTCCAAAATGTCGGCCCCTACGGGCCATCGCCGGGCCTCGGGACCGTCAAAGCACAAGTCAGGCTGAAAAACCCGTCCTGGGAAATGGGTCGAGACTTCACGGGACCCGCAGGGTGAGGTCAGTCGGCATCGGATCTCGGCGGCGCGCAGAGGGGGGCAGGCGGAGGGGGGGGCTTCTTAGACGGAGGCTGCTTCTTAGAAGGCGCGGGCCTTGTCTGTGGATGGAAGGCAGCAGGGTGCTTCTAAGAAGCCTTCCCTCTCCCCCTGCCCCCCTCTGCGCGTGGCCGAGGTTCGCAGAACAGGATCGAGTCGGGACGTACCTAAAATCGGACCGCACCGGCACGGAGTCGAGGTCGGATCGGATCGGCTGCCCCAGGATGCACATCGATGCCATGTGAGCGTCGGGTCGCATCGGTTTGGTGGGAAACCGACATCGAACCGGATCGACCAGTACGAAGTCTATATCGAATCGGAGCGATCGCATCGAAATGGGCCGTGGGAGGTGGACCTGAGTCGCCAGATGCCTCCGCCGGGACGTCTGGAGCCCCAGACCTCGGGAACTCGACGGATGTCCTAAGGGCTCCGCTCCCTGCCGCGGTGGCGCTTGCCGCGGTGCCCCCTGCGAAGCGCTTTGGACAGCCTCCATCCCCCTCCCCACTTACGTGTAACGGTACTGACCAAAGAAAAAACACAGTACAATCCCAAAATCGCGGATTCGCCGAGGACTAGAACATCGGCCAAAGATTTCGGGGTATGGTCTGCGCTGCCTGGTAAAACCCTGCCCCGACATCTCCCTCCCCGAAGTCTCGAGGACCCTGCGTCTCGTTTTGGCCCTCGCGTTTTCAGGACTGGGCGTCTGTTTTGAGCTGGCGAGGTACGGTCAAAACGTGTATCAAGGACGTGTGGCAAGTGCGCAAGACCCTGGGCGGCCGAAGACGGGACTTTTTCGGGCGGCGGGCGACCAGTGCAAACGGCGAAGGACTGGCCGCAGAGGCAAGGACACAGTGGTGCCCTCGAGGAAGGCGCGCGTCTACTGGGCGCGCTGACCGTAGTCCCGAAGCTGCGGATAAGAACGAGGGGGGGGGTCGACAGCAGCCTGCGAGGCTCGACGAGACCCGTGAAGAGGCCCTCCGCGGGCGCCCCCTCTTCGACGCTGCACCCCGGGCCCGCCGCAGGCCCCGACCTCTTGCACAGACCGTGTGCCGCGGGTCAGTGCCGCGTCGACCCTGGCGTCGGTTCCTGACGCCGCGGGGACCGTGCAACCCCTGAACAGCCGGTCGTTTCCGAAACGTCCGATCGTTTAGTGGCTGTCGACCGACTCTGGCACGCCGGCGGCATTCAGTGTGGAACGCCAGCGGCGGGGACGCCGAAC